ATGATCTTCAGGTAATAGCTGCTGCTCCCATGAGTTCCCATCTTTTTTGTTGTATTTTTGCCTCTTTTTTCCCCCCTCCTTGTAAAGCAGGTAGATCCACAAACTCCGGGCCCCTTTCAACTCTGTCCAACTCTCTTGTCTAGAGAGTTGTCACGTTGCCAAGCTTCATTTTTGTAGGGGGCCCTTGTTCTTTCTTGGGGGGGCGGTGTTCAGCTCTCCCTGTACCTTTTCCTCTTGGTCAGCCACTTGGTTGCTTTCTGGTACTGTCTAGATTAGAGCTGAGGAAGGGGCCATGTCGATTTTGTCAGTTTTGTAGGTAGGATTGGTTGTCAGTTTTGTCAGAGGATGGTGCCTGTGTGGTCAGGGCCGAGTGAAGCGTGAACTTGTTGGCCAGCAGTCAGCAGTGTCTCTCAAGGGGAGGTGGCCGTAGCCTTCCCGTAAAGAACATGCTTCCCAGCCAGCATTCCAGGTGGTTCAGGGTTGTCCATGTGAGGTGCACTCAGGCTAGCTGGCTCTTAAAACCAGTAGCTGCTATTTATGGACTGCTTTCTTTGTCCCTGCTGCTCACGTCAAAGGCCTTTATCCATATTATCTCATTTAACCTTCCTACCACCTCCTCTGTTTTTGGACACAGGGTCTCCTTCGCCTGGTCTGAAGGGTAGTGGCACCATCATAGCTCACTGTAACCTCAAACTCGTGGGCTCAAGCGATCTTCCTGCTTCAGCCTCCCTGGTAGCTGGGACTACAGGCATGGCTAGCCAAATCATTTAATCTTCACACCCCTTGAGATACCGTGTTTCCCCGAAAATAAGACAGGGTCTTATATTTATTTTTCCTCTAGAAGACACCCTAGGGCTTATTTTCAGGGGATGTGTTATTTTCCCCTCAAAGCCTCAGCTTGCAGCATGCACAGGATTGCCGGGACCTGACAGGGGGAGCTGACCTTGTTGGTGGGGCTGCCCGCACCTTTCCGGTCACCTCTGGGATAGTAGCTGTCACGATGGGGTAGATGAGAAGGGCTGCTAGTCTTCTTTACTGCATGGATTGTGCAGATACGCTGGGTAGCCACACCCATCACTAGGTCTTATTTTCAGGGTAGAGCTTATATTGTGAAAATGCTTAGAAATCCTGCTAGGGCTTATTTTATGGGTAGGTCTTATTTTTGGGGAAACACGGTAGGTACTACTGTTATGCCATTCTACAGGTGAGAAAACCAGTGCTCAGGTTACATTCCAAGAGCACATTCTAGGGAAGAGGTAGAGCTGGTTGAATTAATTGGTCTGCAGAAAGAAGCATGATGTCCACATCTGTAGGGATGGGGCCAGCTCCTTTGGACATAAGATATCTTTACCAAGTACTATTTTTGGCAAGCCTGTGTGTGGTAGGTGGTGAACCCAGCATGCCTCTGGGCACTGTAGGGTTGGCCCAGGGGGCATTCCTTAGAATGGGTGTCTAGATCTGTCTGTCTTTTGACCTAAGAGGAGGAGCAGCCAGCTCTGAACATGGAAAATTAAATGCCCTGGAAGCTTTGTCCAGGAGGTACGAGGCAGAACTGATGCTAGGCAAGGCGTTGGCCTCTTCTAATTTCCTCCTGGGGGCCAGTTCCAAGTCAGCCTCCCTGTGTGCTTGATTTCCTGTCTCTGAGCCCCCTTGTCGCCGACCCAGGTGCAGCCATGCCTGGGCACTGCCGGTCCAGGCCCTGGGAATGGAGCTTCTCTGCGCAGGCCCGGTGCGGCAGACTTCTCCTGCTTGCTCCTCTCAAGAGGGTTTGGCAGGTCTAGATTGAACTGATTAGCGCAGTGCGGCTTCCCCCACTTTTCTTGGGGGATTATGTCACGGTCTATTAAGCGTGCTCCCTCGGTATTTAATCCCACTCTGACATGGATTTTGCTGGCAGTCTGTTAAGTGGCGCTGCTTAAACTGGTTGCTGTTTTGTGGAGATTGCCTTTGTGCAGTCGCGTCGGTGGCCCCGGATTTCCACCTTCTCCCTCAGTTCCTTTCCTTTTTCTCCCTGTTGAACAGAGTCTGAAGAAGATAGTCAGACCTTGTATTCATGCAGGACATTAGCTGGGAGAGTGACCATCAGCAGAGGTTAGCCCAGGGCTCTGAGGGGTTCAAGAGCATGACATGGCCGGGTGGCACTGAGAATGCACAGTGATTGGTCCAGTGTCACTGTTCCATGCCCCTTCATAAATCACCAGCAATTTTTTTTAATCCTATTTATTTTTCAGCTTCTCCCAACTCTAGGGAAACAAAGTTGCAAGAATTCACTACTACTTTTGTAAAAAGTTGCATGGGTGATTCTGGCTGAGGCCAGATCCGCCTGGGGCTGTGAATAGAGACAATGTGGAGAATCCTCTTTGGCTAAAATCTTCCTGGTGTGGCTTTGAGTGCTGCACCTTTGAGATGAAAGGCTTTCTTTTAGAATCATTCTGGATGATGGTTAGTGCTCTTGGAATTCCTTGGGTGATCTTTTGTGCAGGTGTTAGATGGAGAGCAGCCTGCACCTTTGTCCAAGCCAGTGGGTGGCATTGGGGCAGGGATGGAGGCTTCAACTGGCCTTGGGAAAGACCTTTCTTTGCCTGCCATGCTACTGGTGTTGGGCACAGGTGAGAGGGGGGTGTCTGAGGCCACCATCTATCTCTGGCTCAGCCCACTTGGCCCTATTTATCATGGAGGCTGCCTTATGGACTGAGTTTTTTTTTTTTGTCACTTTTATCTTTTTACTACAAGGAAAGTGCAGAAAAGGAGGTAGTCAAGTGCCTGGCATAGAGTAGGTGTTCAAAAATATTTGTGGCCTGGACGGTGATCATGCCAGTTTTTTGCCGTTCCAGATTAAAGTGTTGAGAGTTGATGCTCTTTTTTAGTTTTTCTAAAAAGAAAACCAGCCTGTTATCTCCTGGCTGTCCTTCCCTCCCCGAGTTTCCCAGAGGTGTGGCCCCGGCCCGCCCCCGGCATTCCCACGGGGGGGGGAGGGGCACACAGGCGGGTTTGCTCTAGTCACCTCCTCCCAGTGTCTGTGCAACTCCAGGCAGCAGGAAGTTTGCCATGTCGCTGAAAAACAGCCTCTCCCCTGGGACGAACCAGTTTCCCCAGTCAGGTGGCACGTTTAATGTGGGCAAGGCATCCAATGAGGGCTCTGTCTCCTGGCTGGGCTGGTGGGTCACACCCCAGCCGGAAGGTACCTCCCTTGTCAGGAATGACACCTGCCCCCACGCTCCCTCCCAATCCAAAGTTTGCTCAGCGTCTTCCGAGGCGGCCAGGACAACCTCGTAGTTTACGGGGAAACAAAACGACGTGCACATCGGTCATCTCTCCATATTGTTTCCTTTGAAACAGCAGAATTCTGTGTCCTGCTTTGAAAGCTGCCCTTGACCTCTGCCCCGGGGTACCCGTGGGGCTGGGCCACTTTGGTTTTAAGTCGACCGGTCCCCTTTGAATTGGGAATGTGAGTTAATAGAAAAGCCTCTCTTGAAGGGCTTCTTGATGTGTGGGGAGCAGCTCCGAGGGGGACAAAGCGAATGCCTGAGTGAAAGGGCTGTGGAGGGTCCTTGGAGAAGGTGGCAGTTCGTTGTTTCTCCACAAAGCCCGGCAGGACCTCCCGGGCCAGGCTCGAGTAATGAGCACGCCCGCCTGAGCAGCACCTTCTGCGACAAGCAGCTCCCTTTGTGGTCAGACTGTGGGTCTGGGGCTCGCGGGACACTCTTTGCAATACCTCTTCTCTTTCTGTGTCCTAGTTAACTGAGATGGAAGGGATTCTCACGCTCCCACACGAGCCTTTCTGTGGTCATTCATGAGGAACTTTGGGAGATTTTTTTTTTTTTCTAAGTTAAAAAAATTTTTTTTTCCTTTACTAACTTCTGTACTTGTGAGAACTGTGTCTGTGGGTTTGGCTCAAAAACTGGATGCTTCCTCCAGCTGCTCTCTCCTTAACTCTGTTTCTTCCCTCACCGCCCCTCCTTCCCCCGCCCCCCACCTCCCCCACCCCCTGCCCTTGCCCTGTAGATATTTGGATGTGTAAATGTCACATCGGCAGTGTCTGTGCTTTTACTCTTCAAAGTACCTGGGGTTGGTCAAAGTGAGGGAGTTGACAGATCAGAATTGTAGGGTGGGAAGGCGGGAGGGAGCTGAGGTGGGTCAGAGGGAGGAGAGAGAGCAGGGTCAGTGGAGTGGGAGGACCTCAGCAGGGGCCTGGGACCTTTTGCCTTCCTCTAGCCCCTTGGTTTCCTTCCAGCCAGCAATGTGGGGCTGACTGAGGTGGGTCAGACCTGGGAACCTGGGGCTCAGCCTGTGGACCAGGGGTTTTTACAGGGCTTCTATAAAAAGCACATTCAGTGTTCTAGGGCCACAGCCCAGGTCTGCCTGTGGGTGGGGCCCAGGAAGCTGAAGGACGGCCCTGGTGCAGAGGACGGCCCTCTCTCCACTGTCCACAGCCTCAGGTGGAGCTGCCACTGGCTCACAGAGGACTGGGGCCGAGTGGGCGGCCCTGGGCCCCTGGGAGGGATGCTGTTAGTGTTCCTTGGGAGAAGGCACTTTTGTGGTCAAGTGAGTTTCTGAAATGCTTCAAAGCAGAGCTCTAGGGTGGTTCTTTACTACAGGGCTTCCAGAAGTTCTACAGCATGAAGCATCGTTGCAAATCATTGCAGATTTTCTCACCAAAGTGACCACAGAACCTTGTTGGTTTCTTCTTCTGAGAACTCTAGTCCTGTCGGGAAGTCCTGGCATAGATTTATCCCAGTATGAGTGGTAGTACCTTTAAATTCCTACTCCTTCCCCCAGCCGGCTTAGACTAAAGCAGGCACAGTCCTTTCAGGGGCAGGATGAGGGATGGGATGAGAGGCACTGGCCTCCATGTCCGTCCTCCCGGGGCCTCTCCCAGGAATTGCAGGTCTGCTCACAGCATTTGGGCCCTCTATTCCTCTCGGCCTCGGCCAGCCCAGAGCCCTCGTGGGTCTCCTCCCAAACTCCCTGTTCACTTTGGCTTTGGGGTTGGTTTGTAGGGAAGATGGTGAGTTGGAAGAAGGTGAACTGGAAGATGATGGGGCAGAGGAGACCCAGGACACCTCCGGAGGGCCCGAGAGGAGCCGGAAAGAAAAGGGGGAGAAACACCACAGTGATTCGGACGAGGAGAAGTCTCACAGGAGACTGAAGCGGAAACGGAAGAAAGAGCGGGAGAAGGAGAAAAGGAGGTCGAAGAAGAGGAGGAAATCCAAACACAAAGTAGGTGTGGGGCGGTTCACTGGGGCTGCTGCCACCTGGCATCAGGCCTGGCCAAGAGCCCCAGGGGCAGAGCTTGTCCTGACATCCCCCAGGGCACTCTTAATACTGTGTTTTCCTGTCCCAAATTGGATAAAGACCTCTTTTTAAAGAGTTGGTAGCTTATGCTCCACTGCCACTAAATGCCCCTAGGTGAGGTGTTCCAGATGGAGCCCCGAGCCCTGCGGCACATTCCAGCGTCGTCTGTCTCAGGGCAGATTGGCCCAGAGTGGCCTGCTGCAGCGGATTGCTAAGTCCACCTCCCCTGTCTCCCCTGTCGTTGCAGCGCCATGCTTCCTCCAGCGATGAGTTCTCTGACTTCTCGGATGACTCGGATTTCAGCCCCAGTGAGAAGGGGCACCGCAAGTACCGAGAATACAGCCCCCCGTATGTGCCGGTGAGTACCTGCTGGGAGCCAGGATAGGGAGAGCTGCTGTGCGGGGCATTCTCAAATGGCACTCAACATGGATTTTAGTCCCGCCAGATGAGATATTGTTTTTAATACCCATTTTATGGATGAGGACACTGAGACTTAGAAAATTTCAACAAGGTTGCCCAGCTCTGAAGTGGAGGAGCTGGGAATTGAACCCAGGCAGTAGCCGATCTCTGTAAGACATGCACTTGAGCCATCTCCAGGCCCAGTCTCCCCTGTGGCTTTGGCAGGACTCAGTACGTCTCAGAGAACGATGCTGACTGGTCCGAGTCAGGGCTGACCGGCTTCCACTGTTCAGAAATGACCTTTTGTGGAAAACTGGCAAGAGAATGAAATGGCCGTGAGAATAAATGATCCCAAGTGTCAAGTAGTCAGAAGTTAAATACTCATCACATTATATTTCTGAGCTCAAGCAGAAATTTAAATTATTTGTTCAGTTTGTGGACCATTTTTTCCCCCTAGAAGAACCCATAAGAAAATTTCAATAAGCTTGAATTTTAAGGTTTTGATGAGAGATGCTTTAAAGTTCATAGCTCTTTAAAGCTGTCCCACATATCCTGGGACTTGGCACCATCCAACATAAGGGAGGCTCTATTGTCAGGTGCTGAAGTCACGATCGACCTGCTCTAGGTTCGGGCTTCAAACCTGACGGGGTGGGGGATGGCAGGAACAGCGTGTGCTTTGATTGCGAGCTGCAGCTTGAGGCATTTTGAGATCTGCTCAAGTATTTGTGTGTGCATCTGTGTATCTGTCTGTATTTTGTATTGTCCTGTTTTTCTACAATGAGTATAGATTTTTTTTAAATTAATAGACTTTCTTTTTTGGAGCTGTTTTAGAGTTGTAGAAAATTGAGCAGGCAGTACAGAGTTCCCCCTTCCTCTCCCCCATTCCTAATATTAACAGCCTGGCACATTTGTTACACTTGGAGCCAATATTGTTACATCGTTCTTCCTTAGATCCATCATTTATTTTAGGGTTCTAAGGTTCTTTGGGCTTTGTCCAAGGCATGTGTTATGTATTAACCAGTTCAGTTTCGTCTCGTCCAGAAATAGGTTCACTACCCTGAAAATCCTGTACTACTCCTCCTGTTTCTCCCTCCCTCCTTCTCCCCTGAAAGAGACCCCTGGCAACTACCAGTCCTTTCACTGTTTCCACAGTTTTTACCTTTTCCAGAATGGCATGGTAGAAATCATACAGTAGGTAGCTTTATTAGACTGGCTTCTCTCACTCAGCAGTATACATTCATGGGTCCCCCTTGTCTTTCTACAGCTTGGGAGCTCATTTCTTTGTTTTGCTGAGTACTACTCCATTGTCTAGATGTACCACAGTTTGCCCGTTCACCTGTCGAAGGACCACTTGGCTGCTTCCATTTTTATGTATATCTTTAGCTTCATCCAGTGCCACTTGACACCGCCACACATTGCAAAGTACCATTGGAAATAGCTGTGTGGGGTGACTGCCAAGCAGGCGGTGAATTGGATGCTAAGGCCTTGTGAGGATCGTGGCTGAGGAGCACTGTTCTGCCTTCTAGGCCCTCCCTACATGTGGCTGCTCTGTAACCCCAGAAATTGCCCCCTTTTCCCCCCATTCATCAGGGGTCCCCGTGTCTGTGTTTCTCAATTTTCTTTCAAGCTGTGGCTCTTGTGAAGAACAGAAACATCTGGGCCCACTGCTCCCCACCCCTGGGTGAGAATTGGTCATGACCCAAGGACAGTAGAGATTCCAGACAGACCTGTCAGTTCAGGGAACAGTGGGGATCTTGGTGGCCTAGGCCCCAAGTCCACAGGAGCTGGCTCACCCTCCTCCCTGTTCTCTGTCTGGGACTCAGTCCCACCAGCAGTACCCACCGTCGCACGCCACACCCCTGCCCAAGAAGGCCTACTCCAAAATGGACAGCAAAGGCTACGGCATGTACGAGGACTACGAGAATGAGCAGTATGGAGAGTATGAGGGTGATGAGGAGGAAGACATGGGCAAGGAGGACTACGATGACTTCACCAAAGAACTGAACCAGTACCGGCGGTCCAAGGAGGGCAGCAGCCGTGGCCGAGGTGAGTCCCAGCGGGTGTGAGTACAGAGGAGAAGCCTTGGTAGCTACACAACATGACGGGGACTGGAGCTAGCCTCGTAGGGGGCAGCGGGAAGAGGATCCCAGGCTGGGCTGTGGTTAGGGGTGCGCCAGGCTGGTGTGAGACAGGGAGGAGGCCCCCGTGTGGCTGAAATTGGATTGATTGATTGATTGATTGAGTCAGAGTCTCACTCTGTTGCCCAGACTAGAGTACCGTGGCATCAGCCTAGCTCATAGCAACCTCAGACTCTTGAGCTCAAGGCATTCTTTTGCCTCAGCCTCCCGAGTAGCTGGGACTACAGGCATGGGCCACCATGTCCCGCTAATTTTTTCTAAATATTTTTAGTTGTCCAATTAATTTCTTTCTATTTTTAGTAGAGATGCAGTCTCCCTCTTGCTCAGGCTGGTTTTGAACTCCTGACCCGATCCACCCACCTCCACTTCCCAGAGTGCTAGGATTACAGGCGTGAACCACTGCGCTTGGCCTGAAGTTGTTTTTTAGATTCCCTTCCTGGTCAGTTATGGAGAGAAAGAAGGGACAGTTTCTCTTTCATCTGGGCCAGGCTAACTGACAAGTGCCCCAACCCTCAGCAGTGCCCCCGTCCTCCCAGCCCCCAGCACCTGACCAGGTGTGACTGTAGCCCAGGCAACTGCCACACCTCTGAACTTTGAACCTGTGGCTAATGGGAGAATGGTAGGGGAGGGCCAAGCACCTGAGACCTAAGGCAGCCCAGACTGGCCTTGAGAACCATCTCCTGCCAGGAGGACATCTTAGCCTGAGATGGACTTCCGGAGTCTTCCAGTGCAGAGGTTCTTAGACTTGCGACCCTGCCTAAGGCCCAGCTTGTATGAGTGGCTGTTCATTCTCCCGTTCTTCCAGCAGTCTGTCTTGGATACCTCCCTGGGGCAGGCCATGTGCTTTGGGGAGATCCTAGACTAGTGCTGTCCGTGGAGATAGGATGTAAGCCACCACGTTGTTGTACATTTTCTAGTAGCCACATTGAAAAAGCTTCAGGAGAGCCAGGCCCCTGTAGTCCTAGTTACTTGAGAAGTCTAGGTAGAAGAATTGTTTGAGCCCAGGAGTTTGAGGCCAGCCTGGCAGCAAAGTGAGAGACCCAGTCTCTCTTTTTAAAAAAAATGAAAGGAAACCAATAAAATTAATTTTAATAATCTGCTTTATCACCTTTCTCTTCCCGGTTCTTCCTGGAATCAGGAAAAACTGGGTTGAGAGGGCAGGAAAAAAAAATCTCCTTTATCAACCTAATACATTCAAAATCTTATTTCAACATGTAATCAAAATAGATAAATGAAACATTTTGTATTCCTTTTTTTTCTTTAACTAAGTCTTTGAAATCCAGCGTGTGTTTTGTACTTGTGGCATGCATCTCTTAGCTTGGACCAGCACATTTCAGCTGCTTGGTAGCCTAGTGGCTAATGTGCTGGTGGCTGCCATATTGCACAGTGCAGCTCTAACTGGACAAGTACCCCTGAGGCAGGGTAGTGATTTTTGTAGCAGCCATGTGTCCAGAAGGCCAAGGGACCCCCCCCCTCCATTGAAGGGACCAGGGGGACCATTAGTCTGCCTGGTGCAGCTGGGAAGGCTTCTTGGAGGAGGAGGAGGAAGAAATGATTGACTTCAGAGGCAAAAAAAAATGGATTGTCAGCCGGGTATGGTGGCATGCACCTACAGTCCCAGCGATGGGGAGACTGAGGTGAGAGGATCGCTTGAGACAGAGTTGAAGGCTGCAGTGGCTACGATTTGCCTGTGAATAGCCACTGCACTCCAGCCTGCCAATATAGTGAGAACCCCGTCTCAAAAAAAAACGTGTGTTATCTTCTTTCTTGCTGGGTGGGGGGGTCCACTCCCGCTGGAAGCTCACTGTCCCAATCATCCTGCAGGCAGCCGAGGCCGTGGCCGGGGCTACAGGGGCCGAGGAAGCCGTGGAGGATCACGAGGCCGAGGCATGGGCAGGGGCAGCCGAGGCAGGGGCAGGGGCTCTGTGGGAGACCACCCTGAGGACGAAGAGGACTTCTACGACGAGGAGATGGACGTAAGGTTTCCTCTAGCCCTGGGGGCGCCGGGACATGGCTGGTGCTCTGGGCTGCAGGCGCAGTTGGGAAGGCCCAGGAGACTAAGGCAGAAGGACACATGGCCTTTCTCAAGGAAAGGAAGCCATGGATGGCAGTGTTTAAAAATGTTCATTTGTCATTTTGGAATAGATAAAACTTTCATGTGGTTTAAAATAGAAAAGATATCACAGGAGGGGCTGTGAAAAAAATCCCATCCCTGGAGACAAGTTTCAGAGGTGCTGGGCCGGGGTCACCCCTTGGGTGGGAGTTTTCCGAGTGAAGGCTGCTAGGGAAAGTGTTGGGACCACCTGCCATTCGGGCCGTGATCTGTGAAGAGGGATCATAAGCACGAGTCCCTAGAGTCCCTGCTCTGAAGAGCAGGCCACAGTCTGTAGTTGGGGGCGGTATTGGTTGTTCCCCATGTGACACTTCCCTGCCCTTTTCTCCCCGAATTCCAGTACGGAGAAAGCGAGGAGCCGATGGGAGACGACGATTATGACGAATACTCCAAAGAGCTGAACCAGTACCGCCGCTCCAAGGACGGCCGGGGCCGAGGTGGGCCGGGGCCCGGGGGGATGCCCTGGGGGCGGGCTCCTGGCAGCTGCGGGAGTAAGGGGCAGCAGGCTAAAGCCGTCCCTCCTCTCTGCAGGGTTAAGTCGAGGCCGTGGCAGGGGATCCCGAGGCCGAGGGAAAGGGATGGGCCGGGGCCGCGGTCGAGGTGGCAGCCGAGGAGGGATGAACAAGGGTGGAATGAATGATGACGAAGACTTCTACGACGAGGACATGGGCGTGAGTGGACTCTTCTTTCTGATCTGACACTTATGGCTGAGGTCCCTTCTGAGATTGTTTTCTTCTGGTCATTCCCTGAGGCTGAGCCTGTCCCCTTGCTCCTATCAGCCATTCCCTCAAGGGCTGAACAGCCTAAATCGTCCCTCCTGAGGGAGGTGCTGCTGGCGAGACCCTCTGTGTTTAAAGCCGCGTCTACAGCAGCACCTGCGGCCATGAGTCTTTGAGGTTTGGAAGCTTCTAGTTGATCCATCCAGTTAGCCCTGGAGGGTTTTACAGGAAGCCCTGTGCCGCCTTCTCTGGGCCGTGGCTGTGTTCCTGCACAGGTGTGAGCGACTCAGACACCAGCACTCTGCACCATGGGGCCCAGAGCCCGCTTGCAGCCTCGGTGTTGGGCACAGCCTGCGGGTTGAGGCTCTGCAAATGCCCGAGGGATTGCTAATCCCCTTCTCCTGTTACTCTCCTTCACTCCCAGCCCGGCTCCGCCCTTCTTTTTTATTCCCCTTCACATCTACATTCGGTTTTCCTTATAGGATGGTGGTGGCGGAAGCTATCGGAGGAGTGACCATGACAAGCCCCACCAGCAGTCCGACAAGAAAGGCAAAGTCATTTGCAAATACTTCGTGGAAGGGCGATGCACGTGGGTAAGGAGCCACTTAAAGTACCTGGGTGCCTCCAGGGTGCAGGGCAGCAGCCCCCGGAGGACACACAGCCTCCGGGAATGTTTTGGAGGCTGTGGATGGGTGGGGGGAGGGATTGTGTGACGGTCCTTGTTCCTGTGGTTACTCTTCAGTACCGAGAGATGCCAGGGCTGCCAGACTCACTTGACACTTCTGAGAGTGAGGAGGGTCCACAGCAAGATGACACACATTTATTTTTACCTTTACGGAGATTTTTTGGCCAGAATTTTGAACCAATCTGTATGGCCTTGAATGCATTTATAAAGGTTGATGCTAATGCAAAGATGTGACACACTCTGGTTAAGTTATTGAACTTCAAGGTTTAAGAAGGAATTACTAAAGCATCCAGATAGAAGGGTTGTTGGGGGGAAATCAGGTTAGCCCTGGACTTCATAGCAGTGTTTGATGCCAGAAGGTGGAAAAATGACCACAGAGTTCTGAAGGAAACGAGGATATAACCCAGTTAGTTCAACCAGCTGACTTCTTACGTGAACATAAAGACAGTGGGCAGGTGCTGGCCATTGCGTGCTCGGGAAGTATCGCACCCACGCATCTGTCTCTGGAAGAAATAGGCATTTCAAACAAATATATTGTGTTTCAAATACTCTAAATGATAATTCAGTATGTTTTTAGAAACTTAAAATAAATATAAGCAAAGAAAATAGTCATTCCTGAGAGTTAGAGGATTGTGCCAAATGATTCCTATGAAGGACTAAATGTTGGGAAATGAAGAACATGAGCCTTGATCTCACTCAGGTGGGATTTTTTTTGTTTTTTGGCTTGTGTTCAACTGGCAATAAAGGAAAACTTAATTCCAGTAGCTTCATCCCATAGACAGGGAAGGAGTCTGGGGGGCGGTGGGCAGTACAAGGCTGGTGCAGTTGTCAGTGGCACCCCTGGGGACCTGGGCTCCTTCCTACTTTCTATTCTGCTATATTTGAACACGTGGCTTTTGTCCTCCTGGTTGCATGTGCCTCAGGCATCACACCTGACGGCTATGAGGAAGAAAAATGAAAATTGGGCGAAAGGATTTTTTTTTATTCAGGAAATGTCCTACCTGGGGACTTTTGCCCACATCTTTTTGGCTGGATCTGCAAGGGTGGCTGGGAAATGGAGTATTTTTAACTAGGCACATTCTTTCCCGAACAAAATTGGGCTTCTGTTATAAAAGAAACATGGGCCTGGATATGGGTAGGTGACTGGCCCTGGTTGCCATACAACAAACAGTAAAAGTGGTGAGTAAATGAGAGAGAGGAACAAGAAGAGGAAGAAAGGGGAGGAGCGAGTTAGAGAGAAGCAGGGATGAGGAGGAGCTCCACGGTTGGGAAGCAGCGTTCGTGAGCCGCAGCGCAGTAGCACCGCCTCACCGTTGCATTGCTTCTCTTCCAGGGAGACCACTGTAATTTTAGCCATGACATCGAACTCCCAAAGAAGCGAGAACTGTGCAAGTTTTACATCACCGGATTTTGTGCCAGAGCCGAGAACTGCCCCTATATGCATGATATCCTTTGGTGCCTGCATGTGATCTGAGTGAGGGCGCGGAACTTCTCTTCCCCTCACAGTAGCGACAGCGGACCTTCATTGTGCTTTGCTCTCTCTGTGTGTCTCCATCTCGTTTCACCCTCATAGCCTCGCTGTGTTGGGTATGTTATTCCCATTCTGCAGATGAGTAAACTGAGGTGCACATGCCACACATCTCTCTTTCATGTATTCTCAAGACTGGCCCATGCCATTGCCTTTCTGAGATTTTCCAACTGGTTTTGTGCCATTGGGCGAGTCATTTAACTTTGCTTTTCTGGTTGAGGATCACAGGACACAGCCCCACGGCCAGCGTAGTGGGGCAGAAAATGTTGTAGAGCAGGAGGCTCGAGAAGTGGGGTCTTTCCTTGGGTCTGCTGCCAACCTGCTGTGCAACCCTGAGCAAGTCACCTCATCTCTCTGGGCTTCTGTTTCCTCAGCTCCAAAACAGAGGGGGTTGGATTCTGCCTTTGGGTGGTTCCATGAGATGAAGCATTTGCCTTAACTTGCCATGAACGTGATTTTCCGTGTAAGCTGTACCACACAACTGGGAACTGCATCAATGGTGACGACTGCATGTTCTCCCACGACCCTCTGACTGAAGAGACGAGAGAGCTCTTGGATAAGGTAATGTCTGGGAGGTAACGTGGGAACCCTGGCTGGTGGGAACCAGGAGGTGTGCTTTCATTGCCTGGCACTGTCGCCTGCTTCCCTGGCCTCTCCAGTTCCTAGTCCTGTTGATCCAGAGCTGAGCATTTTTTTTCTTTTTTTTTTTTTTTTTTTAAAGAAACAGAGTCTTGCTCTGTTGCCCAGGCTGGAGTACAGTGGCTTGATCATATCTCACCACAGCCTCAAACTCCTGGGCTCAAGCGATCCTCCCATCTTGGCCTCCCAAAGTGTTGGGATTACACGAACCACCTTGCCAGGCCCCAATTTTAAGGAGCAAACAGGGACTATGTTCTTTTCTGCAGGGAGTTGAGGTGGTTACACATGTATCTTACCTTGAGCCGCCACAGGCTGCACTGTTTGCACTGGGCACAGCCGCATGAACCAGTGTTGCCTGGTGTGGCAAGACACATCTTTTTTTTTTTATTGCAACAGAGTCTCACTCTGTTGCCCAGGCTAGATTGCCATGGCGTCAGCCTAGCTCACAGCAACCTCAAACTCCTGGGCTCAAGCGATCCTCCTGCCTCAGCCTCCCGAGTAGTTGGGATTACAGGCATGTGCTACCATACCTAGCTAATTTGTTTTGTGTGTGTGTATATATGTATTTTTTAGTTGTCTAGCTAATTTCTTTCTATTTTTTTAGTTGAGACGGGGTCTCGCTCTTGCTCAGGCTGATCTTGAACTCCTGACCTCAAACGATTCTCCTGCCTCATCCTCCCACAGTGCTAGGATTATAGGCATGAGCCACCACTCCCGGCCTCGACGCATCTTTTGATTCTTTAGCCATCCTTGAGAGAGAGCCCACAATATAGAAAAGAGTCAAAAATTCTATTTTGGCGGAAATATCAAATGTTTCTTTGAAGCTCCTAGGGACTATATTATGCGGCAGAAAAAGCAGAGGGAAAATTTGGGGGGGGGGTCTCTGGCGAGGATGTAGAGAAAGGGGAGCCCTTGTACACTGTTGGTGGGAACGTAAACTAGTGCAGCCACTATGGAGAACAGTATGGAGACTGTCATGTTACGAGATCGCAGGGGCTACTTGGAGTTCAGCAGAGTCCCTGTGCCTGCAGAAGAAAGACTGTCTATTCCTCGTTGATAAGGCATCACGAGAAAAGTGCTCATCTTCGCCAGCCCCTTTGGGAAGCCTGTTCTAGGGTTTTTCCACAGTGTAAGCAGCAGAAGTAATGGTGGCCTCATTTCTTATTGGAAGTACTGAACAATATCTGACTGAGGACTGCCCCCTGCTGGAGGTCCAGCGTTTGCACTCTATGCTAGTGCTCTCCCATAGGAATGCCACAGAGCTACTGAGTTCATTAAAATTTTTCAGTAGCCACATTAAAACGTAAAAAGAAACAAATTATTTTTAACAATAAATCTTACTTAACCAAAATCATTTTAGTAAGTAATAAATGATAGGATAATTGAGTTTTTTAGGCTGGGTGTGGTGGCTCACGCCTGTAATCTTAACACTCTGGGAGGCCGAGGCGGGCGGATTGCTCAAGGTCAGGAGTTCGAAACCAGCCTGAGCAAGAGCAAGACCCCATCTCTACTATAAATAGAAAGAAATTAATTGGCCAACTAATATATATAGAAAAAATTAGCCAGGCATGGTGGTGCATGCCTGTAGTCCCAGCTACTTGGGAGGCTGAGGCAACAGGATTACTTGAGCCCAGGAGATTGAGGTTGTTGTGAGCTAGGCTGACGCCATGGCACTCACTCTAGCCTGGGCAACAAAGCGAGACTGTCTCAAAAAAAAAAAAAAAGAAAAGAAAAATTGAGTTTTTTATTTAAACATGGTTTTTTTTAGAGACAGCATCTTGCTCTATCACCCAGGTTAGGGTGTGGTGGCGTGATCATAGCTCACTGTAACCTTGAATTCTTGGGCTCAAGTGGTCCTGGCCTCAGCCTCCTAAGTAGCTAGGTGTACACCACCATAGCCACCTAATTTTTAAATTTTTTGTAGAGATAGGGTCTTGCCATGTTGCCCAGACTGGTCTCAAACTCCCACCTTGGCCTCCCAAAATGCTGGGATTACAATTGTGAGCCACTGCAGCTGGCCGAGACATTTGGTATTCTTTTTTTTTTTTTAAGTGGGATTGAGATTATATTTGGTATCTGTTGGTTTCTGTGAATTGTGATACTTGAGCCTGTTAAAAATAAATGCCATTCAATAAGTCCATCACATTGCGAAAAAAGAAAAGAAAAAAAAATTAAAAATAGGCAGGGCGCGGTGGCTCACGCCTGTAATCCTAGCTCTCTGGAGGCCGAGACAGGTGGATTGCTCGAGGTCAGGAGTTCAAAACCAGCCTGAGCAAGAGTGAGACCCCGTCTCTACTTTAAATAGAAATTAATTGGCCAACTAAAAACATATAGAAAAAATTAGCCGGACATGGTGGCGCATGCCTGTAGTCCCAACTACTCGGGAGGCTGAGGCAGAAGGATCGCTTGAGGTTGCTGTGAGCTAGGCTGACACCACGGTGCTCACTCTAGCCTGGGCAACAGAGCGAGACTCTGTCTCAAAAAAAGTAAAAATTTTTTAAAATAAAAATATTTAATTAAAAATTTAAAAAATAAATAGATGCCATATAGAGAAATTTTTTTTTGTTGTTTTTTTTTGAGACAGAGTCTCACTTGTTGCCCAGGTTATAGTGAGTGCCGTGGTGTCAGCCTAGCTCACAGCAACCTCAAACTCCTGGGCTCAAATAATCCTTCTGCCTCAGCCTCCCAAGTAGCTGGGACTACAGGCATGTGCCACCATGCCCGGCTAATTTTATATATATATATGTTAGTTGGCCAATTAATTTCTTTCTATTTATAGTAGAGACGGGGTCTCGCTCTTGCTCAGGCTGGTTTTGAACTCCTGACCTCGAGCAATCTGCCCACCTCAGCCTCCCAGAGTGCTAGGATTACAGGTGTGAGCCACCACACCCGGCTGAGAAATGTTTTTTGAAAGCAAAACTTGATGTTTACAGAATGTATAGGCTGGTAGGTTTCTTATTAGGAGTGTGCACACAGACCCCTCCAATGCAAACATATACATTCTACATTTATCTGAGGAGCTTTTTCTTCTTTTTCTCTCTTTCTTCCTGAGACAGAGTCGCTCTGTCGCCTGGACTAGAGTGCCATAGCATCAACCTAGCTCACAGCAACCTCACACTCCTGTGTTTAAGTGATCCTCCTGCCTCAGCCTCCGGAGTAGCCGGGACTGTAGACATGGACCACCACCCCTGGCTAACTTTTTCTATTTTTAGTAAAGACAGGATCTTGCTCTTGCTCTTGCTCAGGCTGGTCTTGAACTCCTCCTGAGCTCAAGAGATCTTCCCACCTTGGCCTCCCAGAGTGCTAGGATTACAGGCATGAGCCACCACACCCGGCCTTAAGCAGCTGTTAACATCATACATCATATTTATATTCTTTGGTGTGTGTGCTATCTTTGGAATCTGGTGTTAATTTCCTACTTAGAGTCCATCTCAGTTTGGACCAGCCACATTTCAAGTACTTACTGGCCATATGTGGCCAGTGGCCACCATATGAGAGCATAGCTCTGGATGTCCTAGTTAAAAAACAAAGTGGCACATTTCAGTGTCTGGCCACTAACATTTTAGAGCCATTAATATCATTCCCTTTCTTAGGTTGAAAGAATCATACCAGAGTCCAGTTGGGATGGTTAGAAAGCGAAACTTACAGCAACTGTCTTAGAAGGGCTTAGATCAACCCTGACGAAAGCATGGGGCCCACCGTCACCTTCTTGCCTGGAAAGGCACAGCTTGGTCCACCGGGGCTGGGGGCTGGAGCTCCTGGACAGCCCTTGGGTCCAGGTTGTGGTGGCACTGAGGACTAGGCCCTAGCCACCCTCTCTTGAGCGTCTATGCTCTTTTATCCTCTCCACCCGCTTTTCTTCAGTCTCGTTTTCCTACTCCTTGGTGACATGTCCATCTGTTTAGAAATGTCAGTTTCCATCTCCCTAGTCTAGGTTTGGAAAGTTGCCTGCATTTGGGGTTGGTGATGATGCTTATATGGGAGCAGGTGGCAGGAAGGAGTCCCTCCACCCAGATTCATCTGTTAGTGATACTTTGCCCTGTTCGCTTGCTCTTGTTTTAGTTTGTATGTGGGTGTGATATGGCTTTTCCTTGATCCACCTGAGAGTAAGGTGCGTGCATCATGGTTCTTTAGACTTCAATACTTCGTTGCACAGAGTTTCTTTGTAGTCAGGTTTTTTGAGGTACACTTTGTGTCCAGGAAAATCCTCTGTGTTAATTTGCAGTTCTGTGGGCTTTGACAAATACATGGTGGGCGTGTCACCACCCCACCATCTACATACAGGAAATCCATCCCTCACCCCAAACACTCCTCTGTGCCCTCGATAATAAATGCCTCTCCCTGTGTCCAGCCCTTGACAACCACTGATCTGTTTTCTGTCCCTGTGGTTTTGCCTTTTTAAGAATGTCATATAAATAGAATCATATGGTAAACAGCCTTTAAGAGTGTGTGTGTGTGTGTGTGTGTGTGTGTGTGTGTGTGTGTGTGTGTCTGTCTGTCTCGAGTCTGACTTCTCGCACTTGGCAAAATGCATGTGAGATTCACCCGTGTTGTTGTGGTCAGTAGTTAATTGCCGTTTGTTGCTGGTGAGACTCCACTGTGTGGACGATCCCGGTCGCTTAGCCACCCGTCAGCTGAAGGGCATGTGGATTGTTTCCACTTTGGGGCAAAAACGTAGAATTTATAACCAACTGCCTTGAGCTTATTGGTTTGATGAAGCTTGGCCCGCTTGCCTTTTTTGTCTGTTCACGTGTGACCATCCCTTCTGTGTGGAAAAGGTAAATTTTGACATTTAGAAACCCCTTGGGTGGCCGAGAATCGCTCCTGTAAGGGAGGTTTTGGCACCAGCGGGGCAGCTGGTGGAGGGACCAGGGTGCGGCCGTGGGGCGACCTGGGGATAGAAGTGCGCTCCATGGCTCTGCGCTGGGAGGGAGTTTGTGTTCAGCCTTTTGAATTTCTCTTATGTATTTTACATAAGAGCAGGGTCCTCAAACTTTTTAAACAGGGGGCCAGTTCACTGTCCCTCAGACTGTTGGAGGGCCGGACTATAGTTTTAAAAAAACTATGAACAAATTCTTATGCACACTGCACATATCTTATTTTGAAGTAAAAAAACAAAGGGGCAAAAACACCTGCGTGTGGCCCGCAGGCCGGAGTTTGAAGACGCCTGCATTGGAGTGTCTGTGTCTTGAGCTGGAATCCTCTTCAGTACACCTTGGGGTCCATGCGAGGCTGAGGGAGACCGTGAGGCTGAGGGAGACTGCGTGGTGGCCAAGTGCTGAGATGAGAGGCAGTAGCAGCCTCCTGTTGGGAGCCAGGGAGGAGGAGGAGGAGGCTGCGGCTACTTGAGGGTTGTGCTGTGATGAGGGCCTCAGTTAACTCGCTAACTCAGTTAATGAGGGTGTACTTAAGCACCTGCTGTGTGCTGAGCTTCAGGCTGGCAGTGCGGAATAGCAGTCTCCCTGGAGCTGGCAGTCTGATGGAGAGGGGGAGCCCTGGAGCTGGCAGTCTGATGGAGAGGGGGAGCCCCGGAGCTGGCAGTCTGATGGAGAGGGGGAGAGGTCGTATGGGGAAGTGCTGCGTGTTTTGTGGCCCCAAAGGGCTACACCTAGTCTTAGAGGAGTGGGAAGCCCTCTGGGAGAGCTGCAGTCGGGAAGAGACTGGGAGCGGGACCAGGTGCCAGGCTGGGAGGCCGCGTTTCAAAGAGGCACTGGTCATTATGGGTGGGAGCTTGGAGGGGCGAGGTGGGGGCTTGGGCAGGGAGACGCTGTGGTCAGGCTTGCTCCTGTTTAATGTGGCGTGGCCTTGGTAAGTTTTGCCCTTTACTTGAAGACATCGAGGCTGCATGGAAAGGACTTAGCAGTACAGGGGTGTGGCCATCTTTGTGACAGTGAAGTGAAGGTTGCTCTGCTGGTGTGCAGAGGGTGACTTTAGGGCCCAGGATGGAGGGTGGGCCGGGGGCAGGGAAGGGGAGCGGCTGCTTAGTGTGTGCGGGGTCTCCTTTGTGGGGATGATGAGAGTGAGCTAGATAGAGGTGGTGGTTGCACGACATTGTGAATGAGTTTAGTGCCACTGAGCTGTTCCCTTTAAAATGGTTAAAGTGGTATACTCTGAGCCATGGGACAGGACTGGCTGTCCTCGCTAGCTGGTCCCAGGAGGTGGAGCAGAGGGGTGTCTAATGATGAGTTTCATCACAAAGAGGAACCTTGGTCTTTGTCCTTTGCTTTGGGAGCCTCCAGGTCCTTGTGTATTAGATTTTTCCTCATAAACTTCAGCTCTCAGCACTGGAGAGGCCCATTGCAGCCCGATTCTTGTCCAGGCCTTAGACGGTCACTTCCCTCTCTTGCCTTTCTCGCCCACAGATGTTGGCTGATGACGCAGAAGCGGGCGCTGAGGACGAGAAGGAGGTCGAGGAGCTGAAGAAGCAGGGCATCAACCCTCTGCCCAAACCGCCCCCTGGCGTGGGGCTCCTGCCCACCCCTCCTCGGCCCCCTGGCCCCCAGGCCCCGACCTCTCCAAATGGCAGGCCCATGCAGGGTGGCCCCCCACCCCCACCTCCACCCCCGCCTCCACCCCCTGGGCCCCCGCAGATGCCCATGCCGGTGCACGAGCCGCTGTCGCCTCAGCAGCTGCAGCAGCAGCAGGACATGTACAATAAGAAGATCCCTTCGTTGTTTGAGATTGTGGTACGGCCCACAGGGCAGCTGGCTGAGAAGCTGGGTGTGAGGTGAGTGCCCTGGGCCCCAGCTGAGGCTGGGGGGGCTGTCCACCTGTCGTCGCGAGCCGGCTGGGGCAGCGGCTGCCTTTCTCTGAAGCTGCTGGAGTCCTGCTCTGTGGCCCATGACCTTGGGCTTGTAGCCCTCCCCTTAGTGCTTGTTTGTCCCTGGTGCCCTCCACGGCTCCTTTGGGGTGGCCACCGCCCTTTTCCTACAGCTTCCCTCACAGACACCATTTTCTCCTCCTCTAGGTTCCCTGGACCTGGTGGACCCCCAGGGCCAATGGGTCCTGGGCCCAACATGGGACCCCCAGGGCCAATGGGTGCCCCGATGCACCCCGACATGCATCCTGACATGCACCCGGACATGCACCCCGACATGCACCCGGACATGCACCCCGATATGCAGATGGGCCCTGGCATGAACCCCGGCCCGCCCATGGGACCTGGTGGCCCCCCAATGATGCCCTATGGTCCTGGAGACTCCCCACACTCCGGAATGATGCCCCCCATCCCGCCAGCCCAGAACTTCTATGAAAACTTCTACCAGCAGCAGGAGGGCATGGAGATGGAGCCAGGACTCCTGGGGGAAGCAGGTACGTGGGGCTCCAGGCGTGGCTGCAGGGCGGGGGCTTTGCACAAAGGGGTAGGGTTGGGGAACATACAGTTTTCTTCCTGGGTCCGAGTCTCTTCAAAAGCATGAATTCAACTCCCATCTCTGTCCCATTGAATGGTTGAATGTTTTCAGTGACATCGATTCATTATTGTGTTGAGGCAGAAGAGAATATATGTTTATTTAATCAGTATAATTTATTTAATCTTTAAAAATGTTTCCATGCCTGGAGTCAGGAGCATGGGAAGTTAGAGGGACAAGTGTGGACTGGTGTGAGGCTAAGAGGCTGAGGCTGAGGCTCAGGAGTAAGTCAAGTGTCTTGGCCAGAGTCGCCTCCTTCCGGACAGCTCTCGGCTTGGAGCTGCTAGTGTCCACCCTGTGACTGTGCTTGTTGTGTCCACGTGACTGGCCATTTTCCTTCTTTTGCTTGTGTGCTGGTGCTGTCCTAGATGGCAGGGGGTCCGATGCCCCCTGCAGTGCCTCGGGCAACCCGCACAGCGGGGATGTGCCCGCTGCCTGGGCTCAGTGCTCGAGGCCACCGCTCCTGTGTCAGCTGCGCTGCAGCGGAGGGAGGGAGATGGCAAACTTGTGAGGAGGGGGTCGTGGTGGGGCAGGCGCAGTGCCTCTGTGGGACAGTCACAGAAGCCTCTCTGAGAAGCGCAACTTGACTTGTGATTGCGGGAGTCGGGGCAGCCGCGCACCCCAGGTCTACGCAGGCCGAGGGGAGGGGTCCCAGCACAGGGGGCTGTCGGTTGGCAAGGGGTGGCCTCGTCGCTATGAAGAATGTTGGGGTGTGCTGGGGCCAGGGTAGAATGGAGATGCTTTCGGGCTGCCATGAGGTTGACCTGGGCAGAGGTGAACAGGGTGGCAGTCCTGAGGTGGCTGGAGTAGCAGGTAGCAGGGCAAAGCTTCAAGGTTCAGACGCGGCCCCATGGGCCAACATGCGCCTGTGTGTGCTCTGCAGGGCGGGCAGGAGCGGCAGCGAGGATGGGGTTGGTGTGTGCGGGTCCCTCGGGGGCGCCCGCGTTGTTCCTAACGCAGCAGGGCCCACGGAGAGCCTGGTCGGGCGGGTGGCAGCGCTTTGCTTCAGCCACGTTAAGTGTGAGATGCCCCTTTTTGGGGGGTTGGGGTGTGTGTAGGTGGCGTGTGGAGCTGTGAGAGCAGGTGTCTGGGCGAGAGCCGGGGCTTTAGAGAGATGCGTCTGAATTCTCGAGTGAGCAAAGCAGGCGTCCAAGAGAGGGTGCTGGGGTTCCCTGGCCCTCACCTTTAACACGTGTGTATGGAGAAGGCTCTGCAGGGGCAGGGAGGGGAAGCAAAGTCAGGCTGTCTCCATTTTAATTCCCATAAAATTTTATTTTTATTTTTTATTTAAAATTTTTTAAAATTTATTATTTACTTTTAATTTTTTGCTCCATAAAAGTACTTCCAAAATTCCCATAAAATTTTAATTCCCATAAAATCTGCCCTCTAAAAGTGTGCAGTTAGTGGTGGTTTATTTTTTGTAGAGACAACATCTTACTATGTTGGCCAGGCTGGTCTTGAACTGCTGGCCTCGAGCAGTCCTCCCATCTCAGCCTCCCAGAGTGCTGGGATTGCAGGCGTGAGCCACTGCGCCTGTCCTACCTAGTGGCTTTTAGTATATTCACAGACTGTTCGTTCTGTGAAGGAGGAACTTTGACTGTCTTGGTCACTGGGTGTCCCCAGGTCCAAGCAGAAGTGTGGCAGGCTGGCGCGTCAGGTTCACACGATAGAGTACAGGTGCTAGCAGAAAGCGACTTTTTGCTTTATATATTTTTTGCATGTGAAACATTGACAAAATTAATGTTTTTTAATTCTATAGACTTAAATTAATATAAATTAAATGATAGCTACAGTTGGTCGCACTCGCCACATTTCAGGTGCTCCGCAGCCGCAGGAGGATAGTGTGGCCGTACGGCCGTGCAGATCTGGAGCACGTCTGTCTTTGCAGAGCATTGCTGTGGGGCAGCCCCGACTCTAGACGTTCCCCGTCCTGGTGACTTGCCCTGTGCCACACTCGTGTCATTCACACCAACAGCGTATCCGGGACTGACGCTCAGTCTGCCCTCGCCACCTGCCTGCCGCATCCCCACGCTCCGAGCCTGTGCTGCTGTCGCCGCTCGAGGCTCCGGTGCTGGCTGGGTCTGGGGTGAGGCGGCTGGTGCCGGGTGCCGCCCTGCGCCCCTCCGTCCCCTGCTTCCCGAGGTGCCCCCTTGATGTGGCAGCTGCTTAGGGACACTTGGCAGAGTTCAGGACCCTGTGGAGGAGAGGCCTCCACCCACCGGCGTCTGGGGTGACGTGTGGCCAGAGCAGCGTTTTGGTGCATTTCGTTCTTTTCTTTCTCTGGCTTTTGTCGTTGGACGTGGCTGAGCTCACACCATGGGCTCACTGTGAGGAGCGCTGTTTTTCTTTATTGATTGTTAAAAAGAAACCATGAGACTCGTGCTCATAGCAAATAATTAGAAGTATGTGGAGTAGAAAGTGCAAGTTCACCGGCCTGTCCCTCCAGAGTCCCCTTTCCAGAGAGACTGTTTTCTGTCTGTCTTTTCAAAGCCTTGTCTGCGAGTTTCACAAAATACATACAGTGTTCCATCCTGTTTCCACCTCATGAGCATTCGCGCGTGTCATGAAACCCTCTCTGTGACCCTCATTCTTCACGGTGGCATCATAGGTGGGAGTCCTGGCGAGCTGCCCAGTGCCCGCGGCCGGGCTGTCAGCCCGTGCGTGTCGCCGGCGCCATCAGGGGTTGGGTCTTGCAGCGAAGGGCAGGGGGGTTGGAGCTGGCACCTGGAGGCCCTTCCCGACACGAACCCTCGGTTCTTCCCTGCCACAGAGGACTACGGGCACTACGAAGAGCTGCCGGGGGAGCCTGGGGAGCACCTCTTCCCCGAGCACCCTCTGGAGCCCGACAGCTTCCCTGAGGGAGGGCCCCCAGGCCGGCCGAAGCCGGGCGCCGGTGTCCCCGACTTCCTGCCCTCGGCCCAGAGGGCCCTGTACCTGAGGATCCAGCAGAAGCAGCAGGAGGAGGAGGAGAGAGCGAGGAGGCTGGCTGAGAGCAGCAAGCAGGACCGGGAGAATGAGGAAGGCATGTGTCCTCCCAGGGGCAGGGGCGCAGGCCCCCCGGGCCGCTGTGCAGGGGAGAGGTGGGGCATGCCTAGGTCGGGTGTCCTGTTGGGAAGGAGCCTGTGGCCAGGGAGGACCCCTGTCCAGGACAGTGAAGCCAGGCTGGGGCTGCTGCATATCCCTGAAGAAAGTGGAAGTCAGGGCTGCCCTCTGTGTCTTGGGGTTTGGGAGGGAACCTGGTCCCGTGGAGAAGGACGGTGGGCTGGGCCCGGAGGAGACGGCGGCCGGCGGGATAGAGTGCCCGCGCCCTTCCCGACGAGGCTTTAGGGAGACCTCACAGCCCCATCCCCGACCGCGCGCTTGGGCGCCGGCAGATAAGAGCTGGTCGTTGAAATAAACCAGTAATAACTACAGTCACAGACAGCCACCAGGTCTCGTGCTGTGTGGTCGAGCTGGTGGCGTCCACCCCAGGGTAAAATGGACAAGTGCTGTCTAGATCCGGAAGCCAGAGGCCACGGGTGGCCCTGACAGGAACCCGGGAGCCAGTGGGGACAGCAGGAGGGGCCCCGGGCTGGTGGTTCACATCTCCCCTGCCGGGGAGGTGGTGCCGAGGCCAGGTTCTGAGTCTTCCCCTGGCTCCGCTTCTTATCAGCTGGTGATACAGTTTGTCAGCACGTGCCCTTCCCTGGGACCAGGGGGGACACTGTGAGTGGCCTAGAGGCAAATGTCTGTGAGCTCCCAGCCCAGTGAGAGCCGAGTCAGCAGTGGCTGCTGCCAGGACCTCCAGAAAGAGGTCCCTGGAGCCGGATTTGCCATGCTGGGGGCTGAACCAGCCGGAGGGGAGGGGTGGGCAGCAGAGCCTGGGGCCCGAGTGCCGTCCTGGCCTTGCCCCCAGTGGGAGGGCACTGTGCCTCTGTTTTCTCATCTGTGAAATGGCCATGATAGTAACACTGCATCCTGGGTGGTTGTGAGTTATTTAAATAAAACAAACCACTTAGCACAGTGCCGGCAAGCAGGAAAGCTCCGTAGACATCCGCCCCTGGCCTGCGGAGCCCGCTCCCTCGGCAGCCCGCTGCGGGAGGGGTCCCGGGAGAGGGCTCTGGGGCTCGCAGAGGTAAGAGCAGAGGAGTCTGTCACCTAGTGGGCTGCTTTGGGGTCAGAGAAGGCCGATGGTGAATGTGGTGGCCGCTCACCCCTTCCCCGTTCTGTTCTTTCTCAGGTGACACCGGAAACTGGTACTCCAGTGATGAGGACGAGGGTGGGAGCAGTGTCACCTCCATCCTTAAGACCCTGAGGCAGCAGACGTCTAGCCGACCCCAGGCTTCAGTCGGGGAGCTGAGCAGCAGTGGGCTGGGGGACCCCCGCCTCCATAAGGGACACCCCACAGGAGGCCGGCTGGCTGACCCTCGCCTCAGCCGGGACCCCAGACTCTCCCGCCACGCCGAGGCTTCTGGAGGGCCGGGCCCAGGGGACTCGGGGCCCTCGGACCCTCGGCTGGCTCGCGCCCTGCCCGCTGCCAAGCCTGAGGGCAGCCTCCATTCCAGCCCCGCGGGCCCTGGCAGCTGCAAGGCGCCCGGGCCGTCCCCCACAGAAGAGGAGGAGGGAGAGCGGGCCCTGCGGGAGAAGGCCGTGAACATTCCCCTGGACCCCCTCCCCGGGCACCCGCTGCGGGACCCGAGATCACAGCTGCAGCAGTTCAGCCACATCAAGAAGGACGTGACCCTGAGCAAGCCGAGCTTTGCCCGCACCGTGCTCTGGAACCCCGAGGACCTGATCCCCCTGCCCATCCCCAAGCAGGATGCGGCACCCCCGGTGCCCGCCGCCCTGCAGTCCATGCCTGCCCTGGACCCCAGGCTGCACCGCTCCTCCACCGCGGGGCCCCCCAACGCCCGGCAGCGCCCCGGCACTTCCACAGACCCCGGCACGTCCGGCTCCAACCTCCCCGACTTTGAACTCCTCTCTCGAATCCTCAAGACTGTCAACGCCACAGGCCCCTCCGCGGCCCCCGGCTCAAGTGACAAGCCCAGTGACCCCCGGGTGCGGAAACCCCCCACCGACCCTCGGCTGCAGAAACCAGCAGACTCCTCGGCCTCCTCCCGGGCCGCCAAGCCCGGCCCCACAGAAGTGCCGTCTCCAGCCCGCAGCCCCAGCAGGGACTCGTCCCCACCGGCCACAGCTCCCTACGACCCTCGTGTGCTGGCAGCCGGTGGGCTGGGCCAGGGAAGCGGGAGCGGGCAGAGCAGCGTGCTGAGTGGCATCAGCCTGTACGACCCGAGGACTCCCAACACGGGCGGCAAAGCGGCAGAGCCGGCTGCCGACGCGGGCGCGCCGCCCAAGTGCCCCGAGGGCAACGGCAAGAGCTTGGCCTCCAAGGCCAAGGAGCCCCCTTTCGTCCGCAAGTCTGCCCTGGAACAGCCAGAGACTGCGAAGGCCGGTGCAGACGGGGCCGCGGCCGCCGCCACGGACAGATACAACAGTTACAACCGGCCCCGGCCCAAGGCTGCCGCAGCCTCCGCTGCCACCACGGTGACCCCGCCGCCGGAGGGCGCCCCACCGCAGCCCGGGGTGCACAACTTGCCTGTGCCCACCACCCTCTTTGGGACGGTGAAGCAGGCGCCCAAGACGGGCACGGGAAGCCCATTTGCTGGCAACAGCCCGGCCCGCGAGGGCGAGCAGGACGCAGGGTCCCTGAAAGATGTTTTTAAAGGCTTCGACCCCACTGCCTCCCCCTTTTGCCAGTAGTGTTACGCCAGGGCCAGCATTCCCGCCACCCTCCCCGCCCAGGGTGACGTGTGTGGGCAGCAGCCGGAGTTGGGAGCCTGGGGGTGGCGGGGGACTCTGGGTGTTCATTCTTTTTTTCTTTTTTCCCCTCTTCCTTTTTCTTTCTTTGTCTTTTCTTTTCCTTTCTTTTCTTTTTCTGTCTTTTTTGAGTAGTACTTTCTTTGAGACTTATAAATTGTATATAACCATCTTCAGTTCTGGTCAGTGCTGTGGGGCGCCCAGCTCCCACCAAGAAAACCAGCTTGTGCCCATGAATAGTTGCGAGTGCTCGGGCCTCGGCCCCGGTGGGCGCTGCTGGGCCGGGGCCCTCCGAGTCCGGGGCCCCATGGCTTCTCTGGGCAACACTTGGCCCCTCCCCAGGACAAAGGGAACAGCAGGCGTCTGAGAAGGCACCGAATGCTACTCGCCCTGTGCCACTGGGCACGGGGACATGGGGTCCCGCCACGGCAGGGCCCGAGTGGAAGCAGGCCCAGGTATTTATTTCTAGAACCTTAGGACGCACCGTCCCCGTCTCTTCAGCACAGGCTGTGACAACCCACTTTAGGAGATGCCGAAAGTGAAAACGAATCAAAGAAAGAAGAGCCCTGGGCGATCCCGGGCAGCTGGCGGCCCTCGCCTGCTCTGTCTGCCTGGACTGGCACGCGGCCCTCCCTGCCGCTCTCCATCCCGAGTCGTCCCGAAACCCAACGCCCTCCAGCCTCCAGCCCGCGCAGACTCCGGGGTGAGACGGACCTGGAGGCGGCGGGGCCAGCTCGAGGTGGTGGCTCCGGAACAGCTGCGTGCAGGAGCAGCCCCCGGAGTAGCGCCTCTGTCAGTATTACCCCCCTGCCCTGTCACGGCTGCGTCCTCCCCCGTGCCGGCTCTGCCTGGCCCTCAGAGGCCGCAGCGCCCGGCGTGCGCACTGCCGGCCCGGCCCTGGAGACAGCTCAAGGATCCGAGTGTGGCCGCCCTGCCAGGCCGCAAGGCGGGCCACGAGGCAGGGAGCCCTGGAACAGCTCTGTAGCCAAGTGTCGCTTCTCTTCCCGCTTCTCTGCGCCTCCTTAAGCTGCGTCGCGTGTAGGGCACAAGGTAGCCGTGTGTTTGGTTTCCTCTCCCGAGCCAACTGGCGCAGGGGTTCAGAGGCACGTCGCGGTGTTGGGTGTATGGGCACTTCCGGAAGGGAGCCTGAGGGGAGGGTGGGCGCCTGTGGCCAGGGCAGGAGAGGGGCGGGCGCGCTTGGCCCTTTCCAGGAGAGAGGCCAGGACCCCGTTGGGGGAAGGAGGGACCGAGGGCTGTGTCCTCCCCTCGTCCGGCTGAGCCGAGACAGTGGAGACATCTGCACCGGCCCCTCCCGCCCCCGCCCCTCTCCCGCCGGCCGAGGTCCAGCCTCACCCACAGAGCCCAGCTGACGGTCAGCCGTGGACGTGGCCTGGGGAGACCGGCCCAGGGAACTGGGTCCCTTGCACGGCCCCAGAAGCCTGTTTACTTGTGTGTCCGTCTCCTGCCGTCACTCCTGGTCCTGCTGCTGGCTGAAGGCCTGGGTCTCCTCCTTGCTGACGACGAGGCCACCTGGTCACCAGTTAAAGGACTCCCCCTCCCACCTCCTTTCGCCAGGAGGTGAACAAGGCTCCTATACCATCCCCACCCCCACCCCAAAAAGAGAAAAAAATGAAAAACTCATGAGTTTGGGGCCCAGAGGCAGGGCAGGTAAGGCAGGGCCAGACAGCCCGGGCTCAGCGCCCTGATCAGGTTGGTTGGTTTGTCTTTTTGTCCTTTTTGTTTTGTTTTTTAACCAATCATTAGTGAGATTTGTCTGCAGCCACCAGAGTTGGCCCCGCAGCGGAGGCTGCGGCCCTGGTGTTTGCACAATAAGTAAGAATACGCAGTGTGGCAGTGTTTGTTTGTTTTTTTTTTTTTTCTTTCTCCTTTTGAGAACTTTCTTTTGTAAAAGAAAAATTAAATATTTTTTAAAACCGAAATCTGTGGATGAAATAGAAGCTGGAACCCTCCTCAATGGAATATTCAGCCTAAGAACCTCATGGGACTATGAATTCACCCGAAATTTTCATTTGCCATCAGGCCGAGCTTTTAAAGAAAAATTGTTCTCTAACCAGGATTGTAACAAAAGTGTAAATACTATTTCAGAGTTGAAAGTTGATGGTGCAAATATGTATATAACGTACTGTATTTTTACAATGATCGTCGCATGACTCTATTCCATCCCCCTTTTTGTACTCCATACCTGTCTTCCAGAAACGTCACCTGCCTTTTCTCCTGTGGTCTCTTAATCCAATAATTGTATTACTGCCATTAAAGGATGCAGTTATTTTAAAAAGCCTGTGAGTCTAGTCTCTCCTAGTGGCCCAGACCGTCCCTTGCCTGGGAATTAACAAGGGGGTGTGGGGAGGAAGCCAGGTGAAGCCTGGACTTGTTCTCTCAGTGATTGGCGAGGGGACACGGTGGGACAGTTTGTGTGTCCAGACAGCCTACACTTTCCTCAGTGATTGGCTGCAGATCATCTGCCAACGACTGCACCCCGAGGTTCCTGAGCTGCCACTTTGGCCAGTCTCAGCATTTGGGATCCAGGGGTGACCCACACAGGCCCCCAAGGAGCTTAGGAAGAAAGGCCAGTGGTGAACACAAACGGGACACCGAGGCTGGCTTCCACGGATGGGAGGGGCTTATCCGGTCTTCCCTGAGGAAGTGGTGTCCGGCCGGGCCATGCAGGTGGGCACGTCTCCCCTGGGCGGATTTTGGCCTCTGTTCAAGTGGCCTGTGTGCCTTTTCCAGGGCTGCTGTACACATTATCAAATTCAAATGGCTTAAAACAACACAAATCTTATCAACGGTTCTGGGGGTCAGAACGGTGACACGGGTCCTACTGGGCTGATAGCAAGCTGTTGCCGAGACCACGTTTCTTCTTAGAACAGGGAGAATCCATTTCCTTGTGGCTTCCAGCTTGCAGAGGCCACCAGCATTCCTTGGCTCACGGCCTCTTCTTTCATCTTCAAAGCTGGCAACGTCACTTCTCTGTGTGGCCACGACTGGGAAAGGTTCACGTCTAAGGGTCTGTGTGCTTAGGTTGGGCCACCTGGGTAATCCAGGCTGGTTGTGTCTTCAAAGTTCCCTTTGCCATGTCAATTACATATTCACGAGATTAGGGAATTCGAGAGGATTAGGACACGGAGCTTTGGAGCTTCGCAGGGCCGTGTTGCCTTTTAACTGGCAACCCCACGTAATCCTCAGAGAAGGGATCTCGTTGCCATGCACTGGTTGCTGGTCTAAGCAGGTAAATTCTAGGTTTATGTCAAAAATTAAGAGTTCTGTCTCTGAATTTCTTCCAACTCACTTCTATTGAGTAAGGATGATTTCACCTATAATATAAAACTCCAACTCAACTGGCTCAAACAGGCAGGAATCCATTGTCTCATGAAACAATGCCGTGGGGCAGTTGCTAGGCTGGTAGAGTTGGGAAGAGTCCCCCCCCCCCCCCCCCGAGCTCAAGCCCTCTTTGCATTCCACCAGTCCTGAGAGCATCTTCCACCTTGACCTTCCCTCACCAGGCATGGAAGCAGGAAGGGCATGGTTCTCTGCCTGTATCTTTTTACTAGCAAGGAAATACTTCCCAGAATCCCTTCTCAGCAGATGTTTCTTTAGCTCTCCTTGGCCAGGATTAGATTGTGAGCCCTTCCCTGCCTGGAAGGGGAATAGAAATCTCACGATGGGTTCTTAGACTTAATCAAAGACCCACCGTCCAGGGGCTGAGCTGGGAGGGCACCGCCATGGTTTCATTGCAGAGCTTGGGGCTTGCATGACTCTGGCCAGCATTGGGGTACAGTCGGGGTGACTGGCTGTCTGGGCAAGGCAGACAGGATGTCTTCCTTCGAGAGGAAGGAAGACATCACCTGGACTTGGGGAGTTTGGCACGTCCTGGAGAGCCTCAGAGGCTGCATTAGGGATATGGGGAGGGAAGAGCTTGAAGGTCATCACACTTGGAGTCCAGAACCTTCCTTCTGGCCAGGTAATAGGAAATGAGGAGCCAGGGAACCTGGTGGGATAATGGGCGACTGGAGCCCAGGCAGTGGGGGGCCTGCGAGCGGATGGCTTAGAGACTCGGGGCATAAGGAGATAGGACTTGGTAACCGGGTTAGTGTGGCCGGGGACAGCGAGGGTGTCTGAGGCAGCTGGCAGGGGGTGCACGGGGTGGGGGGCGTTCTGGGAAGGGCCGAGTACAGCCGTGCACCGGAGCTCCGGGCTGGAGGCTGCGGGAGGCCCCTCCATGGAGTTGGCCACTGAAACGGCAGGGGCGGACGATGTCACGCAGGAAGCAGGTGGAGCCCAAAGAAGCATCACGGCTGGAGGAAAATACAGAGGCTGAGGGAGGCATCAGCTGGAGAGTGGGGCCAGGAGCTGTGTCGAGAACTTTCCACTGCCAAAGGTCACCTGCACACTGGGACCAACAGTCCAGGTCCTGGGGTGCCGCCTGACCACTGCTCAGTTCCTACAGTTGTTAACGTCTTGCTGTGTCTGCCTTGCCAAGCAGGTAGCTGTGTGGCCATCCCGCCACTCCTCCGCTCTGTCTCAAACAACAACAACAAAAACCCCAAAACCATTTGCATGTAGGTCTCTGTTTGAACACTGATTTTATTTATTTTTATTTTTTTGGAGACAGAGTCTCACTTTGTTGCCCAGGCTAGAGTGAGTGCCGTGGCGTCAGCCTAGCTCACAGCAACCTCAAACTCCTGGGCTCAAGCGATCCTCCTGCCTCGGCCTCCCGAGTAGCTGGGACTACAGGCATGCGCCACCATGCCTGGCTAATTTTTTCTATATATATTTTTAGTTGATCAATGAATTTCTTTTCTATTTTTAGTAGGGGGGGAATCTCGATCAGGCTGGTTTTGAACTCCTGACCTCGAGCAATCCGCCCACCTCGGCCTCCCAGAGTGCTAGGATTACAGGCGTGACCCAACGCGCCTGGCCTTGAACACCGATTTTAATTTATGAGTACAAACGTAGGAGTGAGGTTGCCAGCTATAAGGCAGGTGTGTGTTTAGTTTTATAAGAAACTGTCAAACTGTTTTCCAAATTGGTTATACCATTTTACATTCTCACCAGGGTTCCAATTGCTTCTAATCCTTGCCAACATTTTATATATTTTTTAATTGGGTTGAAATTCACACAACATAAAATTAACCTTTTAAAACAAACAATTCAGTGGCACTTAGTACATTCACAATGTCGTGCAACCATCACCTATATCTAGTTCCAGGACATTTTCACGGCACAAGAAGGAAACTCCGTACCCATGACGCAGTCACTTCTTATTCCTTCCTCTCCCCATCAACCTGGCAACCACTAACCTGCCTTCTCTCTCTGTGGCTTTGTCTATTCTGGACATTTCATATAAGTGGAATCGAATAATACGTGGCCTCTTTGTACCTGGCTTCTTTTACTAGCATCATGTTTTAAGGTAAATCCGACACACTGTAGCATGTATCAGAGCTTCTTTCCTTTTTATAGCTGAATGGCTTAACTTTTGAAGAAACTGCCAGACTGTTTTCCACAGTGGCTGCACCGTCCTACCCTCCCAAGTAACAGGGACTACACTGGCTAATTTTTAAGTTTTTTGTAAAGATGGGGTCTCAGTTTTGCTCAGGCTGGTCTTGAACTCCTGGCCTCAAGTGATCTTCCTGCCTTGGCCTCCCAAAGTGCTGGCATTCCAGATGTGAGCCACTGTGCCTGGCCTACTATATATTTAATTTTTTTTTAATTTTTCTTTTTATTTATTTTCTTTTTTTTTTTATTAGCGATTGACCAGGAAAGAATGACTATCTATTTAAAAAATAGGTTTCAATACTGCTGGGATCACGAAGGTTAACTTTGTTGTAAACCAGAGGGGCTTGATCTGGGTCTGCCACCATGATCCTGAAGTACAGCTGGTCTCCAAGTTGGGCATGAGCCTCCTGCCTGAGGAATGGCCACTTCTCTGCCCAAATGCCGTGTCTTCGTTTCACAGCACATTTGAATACTCTGCCTCAGGCGACACCTCCCAGGTCTGCTGGCTCAGGGGAAATCCTTCCTTCCTGCAGAGCAGCCCCCAGCCCCGATTCTTCCAGAACTTCAGAGACTGATTTCTCCAAATTCCACTTTGGCCTTCCGTTCCTATCGGCTTTCTTGGGGCTGCTGTAACATAACAAATAACCACAAATGGGGTGGCTTCAAACAACAGAAATGTATTCTGGAGGCCGGAAGTCTGACATCAAGGTGTGGGCAGGGCCACGCTCCCTCCAAAGGCTCTAGAGGAGGGTCCTTCCCTGTCCCTCCAAGTTTCTGACAGCTGCCTGGCCCCCCTGGGCTGGTGGCTGCATGGCTCCATTCTCCACCTCCGTCTTCACACCCTTCTCTGTGTCTGCCACTTCTGTGTCTTATAAAGATACTTAGTCACTAGGCCCAGTGCAGTGGCTCACGCCTGTAATCCTAGTACTCTGGGAGGCCAAGGCAGGAGGATCACTCAAGGTCAGGGGTTCGAGACCAGCCTGAGCAAGAGCAAGACCCTGTCTCTACTATAAATAGAAAGAAATTAATTGGCCAACTAAAAATATATAGAAAAAATTAGCCGGGCATGGTGGCGCATGCCTGTAGTCCCAGCTACTCGGGAGGCTGAGGCAGGAGGATCGCTTGAGCCCAGGGGTTTGAGGTTGCTGTGAGCTAGGCTGACGCCACTGCACTCTAGCCTGGACAACAGAGTGAGACTCTGTGTCCAAAGTCTCAAGAAAAAAAGATACTTAGTCACTGGATTTAGGGCCTGCACAAGGATAATTTCATCTCGAGATCCTTAAATTAATGAACCTGCAAAGCCCCTGCTCCCAAGTACAGCCCATTCACAGCTTCCAGGGCTGAGGATGTGGCCAGATATTTGGGGGTCCACCGTTCAATCCATCATCCTGCTCTTTCAGCTGATTCGGGGGATGTGGGGCAGTGAAGGCTCTAATGGATTGGTTGCAATTTACTGATGTCCTTTGTGGTCACCCAGGAATGTGTGCCACAATTGTCACTGGTGGGTATTTCACACCTAGCAATAAAGTCTTCTGGATGCCCTTTTTTTTTTTTTTTTTAATTTTTACTCGTGGACAAGGTTCTGGGGTCCAAAGAGAGGGGGGCCCCAGAAGTCGCTCTCTTTTTTTTGAGACAGAGTCTTGCTTTGTTGCCCAGGCTAGAGTGAGTGCTGTGGCGTCAGCCTAGCTCACAGCAACCTCACACTCCTGGGCTCAAGCAATCCTCCTGCCTCAGCCTCCCGAGTAGCTGGGACTACAGGCATGCGCCGCCATGCCCGGCTAATTTTTTCTATATATATTTTAGTTGGCCAATTAATTTCTTTCTATTTATAGTAGAGACGGGGTCTCGCTCTTGCTCAGGCTGGTTTTGAACTCCAGACCTCAAGCAATCCGCCCCCCTCTGCCTCCCAGAGTGCTAGGATTACAGGTGTGAGCCACCAGGCCCAGCCTTGGATGTCTTTTAGAAGTCATTTTGCTGACAATCCCTGGATCGCCCCTTGGCCTTCAACAAGCCTCTGCCCAGAGATGAGACACAACGATGACATAATATCCACATGATCATTTTACTGGTGTCAAGCGACCCAGATATTTACAAAAGACCCACCCAGGGAACATGAGCTGCTTTTTCCCGTCAGCAGTGTGTCCCACGTCGTGAGCCTGGCAAGGAGCTCTTAACAATACTACAGAACAATTTTTTTAAATGTGGAGCCTATCAATTAATTGTATCAGGAAGAGCAGGTGAGGTTAATGTTGCAGAAACTCAGACTGTCACATGGCGGTGGCTTGAATTAGCCAGAGAGTTTGGTTCTTATTTCCAGGTCAGCAGAGAGTTCTGCTAATCATAGCCACGGGGGACCCGATGCACTGAGGCTTGTCCCCTGGAATGTCCCGACAGGTGGCGGGACAGACACCCGGTGGAGAAGCGCCCACAGCTCTCACTGCGATCTAGCGGCCTTCGCTTCTGCTCCGTTTGGGGGGCTCACTCGAGTCACGTGCGCAGCCTCGCGTCAAAGGGACGGGGACTGCAATTTCGCCGTGTGGCCAGAAGGCGGCGCTCATGTCAACCGAGTCGGCCGGGACTCAGCGGCCTCGGGAAGCTCCTCTCCGGTCGCAGGGCTGTCCTCCCGGCCAGCCCCTCCCCCCCCGGCCTTCCCGTTCCTCCGCTCCCAGCCACTTTCTCCCACGCATCCCCTGCACGGCCCCGACTCCGGTGGCCCCGCGTCTCGGAGCCCAGGGGCGGTGTCCGCGAGTGGCCCTCTGGGGTGCCCACGGTAAGGTTTGGCTGCAAAGTGTGGCTGGTCATTCGATCAAAACGACAGTGTAAGGGACTGAGATCAAGGACTGGCCACAGGCCGGGCGCGGTGGCTCACGCCTGTAATCCTAGCACTCTGGGAGGCCGAGGCGGGAGGATCGCTCGAGGTCAGGAGTTCGAAACCAGCCTGAGCAAGAGCGAGACCCCGTCTCTACTACAAATAGAAAGAAATTAATTGGCCAACTAAAAATATATAGAAAAAATTAGCCGGGCATGGTGGCCATGCCTGTAGTCCCAGCTACTGGGAGGCTGAGGCAGGAGGATCGCTTGAGCCAGGAGTTTGAGGTTGCTGTGAGCTAGGCTGACGCCACGGCACTCACTCTAGCCAGGGCAACAAAGAGAGACTCTGTCTTAAAAAAAAAAAAAAAAAAGCATCCAGAAGATTTTATTGCTAGGTAAAATACCCACCAGTAACAATTGTGGCACACATTCCTGGGTGACCCAAAACAAACAAAAAAGAACTGGCCACAGCTTTGGCTGCTGGGTTAGTACCTGGAGAAACACAGCGACTGTGTTAGGGTTCCGCAGAGAGCTGGAGCCAATGAGATATATACGTAGCTGCAGAGAGCCACATAGACAAGTAGATACAGATAGATCTCAATCCAGATACATACATACATGTGTTACTCTGTGTCCCTATACACGTGTATCGAGATCATCTACGTCTACACATACCTATGTCGGTGTCTCTGTATCTGTGCGTGTGTGCGTGTGTAGGGGGCATTGGTTCCAGGCCTCTAGCTGATGCCCAAATCCACGGATGCTCAAGTCTTTTATATGAAATCGTCTATTTCTATTTTGTATTGTTTTTTTGAGACAGAGCCTCACTCTGTGTGTGGCCTGGGCTAGAGTGCCTTGGCGTCAGCCTAGCTCACAGCAACCTCAAACTCGTGGGCTCAAGCCATCCTCCCGACTCGGTCTCCCGAGTAGCTGGGACTACTGGGGTGCGCCACCATGCCCGGCTAAATTTTTGTATTTTTAGTAGAGATGGGGGTCTCTCTGTTGCTCAGGCTGTTCTCCAACTCCTGGCCTCAAGCAATCCTCCTGGCTTGGCCTCCCAGTGTTAAGATTACAGGCATGAGCCACTGTGCTTGGCTAGGAATTATTTTTCATTAGACCCTGCATTTAGTACCATGTTCAACATAAATAATATTTTTAAAATTAAAGAAATGCCATGAAAAAATATTCTCAATGCCATGGGTTAATATTCACAATATATTTTGTTTTTTTCTATATATTTTTAGTTGGTCAATTAATTTCTTTCTATTTTTAGTAGAGATGAGGTCTGGCTTTTGCTCAGGCTGGTTTTGAACTCCTGACCTTGAGTGATCCTCCCGCCTTGGCCTCCCAGAGTGCTAGGATTACAGGTGTGAGCCACCGCGCCCGGCCACGCAATATATTGTTATGTGGAAAAAATTAATTTGTCAAATGGCATCTTATTTTACATCTGCATAGAAAAAAGACAAGAAAACAACAAAAAATTAGGAGTAATCACTCATTGGTGAGATTTCTGGTGATTTTTACTCTCGGCTCTGAGCTCCAATCTCTGTAGACCAGATTTTGCAAAGGGTCTAAATTAAGCATCCCAAGTTTTGTTTTCTCTGGCCATTGGACTTAAAGTTATTCATAAAAACTACAAGTCCCAGCAGACATCTCGCCCACGACTTGAGAAGACCGGCCTTCCCCGGGCACAATGAACGCTGGGATTCGTAGTCCAGTGGCAAAATCAAAGAGGGACGCGCACTACCGGCATAGATGACAGAGGAGGGAATTACTACCATTGTGACCAATAGACAGTGCACGCCGGCTATGAGTGGCAGGTGCCAAACCAATGGCCAGTCCGGTCATCCTGAGTGACGTGAGCTGGAGCCTACGGGCGGCTCGTGGGGCGGTACGGCGCGCGGCGGCCGTAGTGCGAACCATGGGAGGCGGCTGGTGGTGGGCTCGGGTCGCCCGCCTGGCCCGTCTCCGCTTCCGGAGGTCGCTGCTGCCGCCCCAGCGGCCCCGGAGCGGGGGCGCCCGGGGGTCCTTCGCCCCCGGCCAGGGCCTCCGCGCCGGGGCTTCGCCGCCCCCGGTGTCCGAGCTCGATCGCGCGGACGCTTGGCTCCTGCGGAAGGCACACGAGACAGGTCCGTGTCAGCGCCGGGGTCTGTCCGCGAGCGGCGTCCCGAGAGCCGAGCAGCCGGCGCGTGCGTGGGCGACGCGGCCCGGCCTGCTGCGGGACGCGGGCCCGGGCTCCGCTGCGGGACCCGCTTGCGTGCGAGCGCCGGGAAGGGCTCGCGGGGGGCGGCGAGTCCGGGTTCCGGGGCGCGGTGGGGAGGGGCGGTGCGGCCGGGAGAGGCGCCCTCGCACGGCTGCCCCCGCCTGCGTGACACAGGCTTCCGGAGAACGCTGAGTGGGGGGTGCGGCAAGAGGGGTCCGCGCGGACCGCAGGGGCGCCCACTCCGCGTAGGGCGCGATGGGGATCTCCGCAGGAGAGGGACGTCCCGGATTGGAGCAGGGGACAACCAACAGCAGGAAAGCTCTTGGCTGATTGGAGGGGAGGTGATCTAGGCTGCAGGGGGCGGAGCCTCCTACGGGCGCAGGTACAGGTTGGAACCGACCCGGCGCCTAGGTAGGGTGCGGAGGGCTGGGGCGTGGCGAGGATGCCGGGACCTGGGCACCGCAAGTTGCATGCGGGCGGACCTGGATGGGACCTACAGGCCATGCTCGCTAGGAGGTGGTGGCATTTGAAGGGAAGTGAAGGGGGAGGCTGGAGAGAGGCCGGATTGGGGAAGCAGTTTGTCCCGAGTTGCGAAAAAGAAGTGAGAGGGCAGGCGGTCGGGATGCACATCGAGGAGGGTGGACCAAGTGACCCCCTGGCATGTCCTGTCCTCAGACTGAGGTTCTGCGACTTTGGTTCTAGGGTGTCCTCCAGAATCTGCAGACAGCGTCTTGAATCTCTGGTGTTCCAGAGTTTGGGGGAGAGGACACAAGGGCATGGGGTTCGGTGGCGGGCTTTCTGGGAGAAATGAGGATTTGGGGCGGGTTTGCCTTGGGCCTCGCTGGGGTGGAGGGAGGAACAGGGGGGCCCTCAGTTTCATACTTTGGGCTGAGGGGGGCAGGTTTTGGGGTGACGTTGATGCTCCCATCTCCCCCTCCTTCCAGCCTTCCTTTCCTGGTTCCGCAATGGCCTCCTGGCATCGGGCATCGGCGTCATCTCCTTCATGCAGAGCGACATGGGGCGGGAAGCTGCCTATGGTGAGTGCAGACCCCCCCCCACCCGACTGGGGCATGTAGAGCCCTGGTGAGGGTGGACTCCCTCTTCCCGCTTCCCACCCCAGCAGTGAGGGCAACCCCCATCCTTCCCCCATCCCGAGACGCCCCGCTCCCTGCTGAGCGTCCCCACACACGAGTGGGTGGCCCTGGGCTGGGCTGTGCCCCAGAGGGAATTCTCAGCAGAGGTGAAGGTCCTAGCCCGCCCGCGTGCCGGCCAGCCGACGCGGCCCTGCCCCTGCCGCCCCGACCCGACCCAGCCCGCACGCCCCAGCCCGCACGCCCGACCTTGGCCCCGGGCCACCCGACCCGACCGGACCCTGGGCCACCCGCCGCGGGCCTGACGGCCGCCTCCTCCTCCGCAGGCTTCTTCCTGCTGGGCGGCCTGTGCGTGGTGTGGGGCGGCGCCTCGTACGCCGTGGGCCTGGCGGCGCTGCGGGGCCCCATGCAGCTGACGCTGGGGGGCGCGGCCGCGGGCGTGGGCGCCGTGCTGGCCGCCAGCCTGCTCTGGGCCTGCGCCGTCGGCCTGTACATGGGCCAGCTCGAGCTGGACGTGGAGCTGGTGCCCGAGGACGACGGGACGGCCACCGCAGAGGGCCCGGACGAGGCGGGCCGGCCGCCGCACGAGTGAGGAGGGGACATTAAAGCTGAGCCTTGCTCGGGGCAGATGCTGTGGTGCGTGTTGCTTGGGGGCGGCCCGGCATGCGGGAGGGCGCGGGCGGAGACGGGTGGCGGGTGGGGGGACACAAACGGAGCGAGGCGCCGCCCACGGAGCAGGCGTTTAATGGTCACGGAGGGGACGGGCGAGCGCCCCTGCGCCGCCCCGCGGGGCCCGGCGGTCCCAGTCCTCAGTCCCCCTTGCGCTGCGCCCTGGCGCCCGCGGGCCCGGCGAAGGGCAGGCCCAGGCCGGGGTACAGGGCCTCGGGGAGGCCGGCGCCCGCGCCCAGCCGCGGCAGGTGCGGGTACACCAGGCCCAGCTCGGCGGGCCCGTAGCGGATGGCGCCCGGCGTGCACAGGCCCCGCACCACGGGCGGCAGGAAGCCCGCGTGCAGGAGGGCGGGAGGCGGGTCCCTGGGAGGCACCAGGCCCCACGGCCGCGCGGCGTCCTGCTTCAGGGACCCCGCCCGGATGACAGAAGTGAACTCGGGCCGCGGGGGCGCCGCGTGGCTGGACGGCTCCTCGTCGCCACTGTCCTCTGAGCCTTTCGTTTCCCTGGCGCCGGGCTCCACTTTGGTGCGTCTGCCCCGGGTCTGGGGGGCCTGGGTTTTGGCCGGGGGCGCAGCCTGCTTCCCTTCCGCTGGAGGCTCCGGCTCTGCAAGAGGAAGAGTCTCAGGGCACCCCGTGTGGCCCCAGCCCTCAGTCTCCCCATCTGCGGAATGGAGCTGTGCTCAGCCGGCCAGACTGTGGTTCTCAGCTGGGAGCGCTTTGCACCCCAGGGGACACCCGGCGACAATGTCTGGGGACGTTTTTTGGTTGTCACAGCTGGGAGGAGGGTGCCACTAGCATCTCATGGCTAAACATCCTACAGAGCGCAGGACAGCTCCCACAAGAAAGAATCACCTGGCCCTAAATGTCAGTAGGGCTGGGATTGAGAACCCCTGGTCTAGACCTGTGCTGTTCCATAGAACATTCCAGAATCAAACTAACTTTTGTGGTAATGAAAATGGTCTATGTCTGCACTGTCCCACGAGGCAGCCGCTGGCCACATGTGGCCACCAAGGCCTTGAATTTTCATGTTAATGTAAGCAGGTGGCCACATGTGTCTGGTGGCTTTGGGACCGGATCACGCGGGTCCCAGGGGTTCCTCGGAGCTTCCCGGCGAGCTGGGACTTACTTGTGGGCTCGGGCGCCGGGCTGCGCTCGTCCTCTCGGGCCACGCCGGCTGGGAGCTGGAAGGCGTCCAGAGGCGTTTGGCCACCCTCGGCTTGACTGGGGACAAGACAGATGGGGCTGGGGGCCAGGGGTCCTCCCGGGCTGCCAGTCTGCGGTAAGTGTAGACGTCCCTCGCCCCTCCATAGGTGTAGACACTCCCCTGCCAGTCGTGCCTGTCACCACACCCCCAAACTGCAAGTCGATTTCCAGCCCAGGCTGGCTCTCTCTGAGGCTAGACCTGTATGGCCCGTGGCCACCCCGATGTCTCTGCCTGGGTGTCCCTTGGCACCTCATGCTCATCTGACCTCAGCGTCTTCCTTCCAAACCTGCTGCTCCTCTCAGGAGCCCACACCCGGGCCCAGCAAGGCCAGAGATCTGGGCAGGAGGTGGCCGCCTCCCTCCTCCCCACTTAGAGTCTGGCATGCCCAGGTCCCGGTCCCCCAGTGCCTGTCTTGTCCCTCAGTCCCCCGTCTCCATGACAGCCAGGGGCATCTTTCTAAAAACTAGACTGGAGCCGGGCATGGTGGTGCACACTTGTAGTCCCAACTGCTTGGGAGGATCGTTAAACCCAGGAGTTTGAATCTAGCCTGGGCAACCCAGCAAAACCTCATCTCAAAAAACAAACAAAAACCCAGCTTTGAGTGTGACCCTCTCCAGCTCTAAAGCCTTCTGTGACTCCCCAGTGCCCCTGAGAGAAAAGGCCCTGCAGTCATCCCTTATCTCTCATGACTTTATTTGTACTCTGTCCCCAAGCACAACCACGTTCCTGGGACAGGTCAGGCTGTTGCTCTGAGCCTGTGCCTCTGCTGGGAGTGCCCTTCCCCCTCTGGCTGCCTCGGTGGCCCTCCCCTGGTTAAGAGCTTGCCATGGCTCCCCAGTGCTCCAGAGTCAAGTCCAGACCCTCAACCTGGGCTGTGGCCGCTGTGAACCTACTCCTGCCTCCCTCAAAGGTGTTGTCCCCCTGCCCCAGCCAGCCCGTCTCCTGACGGAGACCTCTCGTTCTACCGCTAGGCCTTTGCTGTCACCGTCCCCCTGTCCCTTTCACGTCTGCAGACCCCTCTGGGCTTGTCCTTTTCTAGAAACCCTCCCGGAAGAGCCCCTGCCCGAGGGGGGGAGAGACAGCAGACTCTGGGGGGCTCCAAGTGGCTGGGCCCTGAGCGGGTGGCGGGAGGGGCGGGCGCGGCCCTCACCTGAGCACGTGGCTGACCCAGAGCACGTGGTGCTCCCCGGGGCTCTTCCCGCTCCCAGCCACGGTGGCCACCGACTGCAACCACACAAAGCCCCCGGCGCGCTGGAGCCAGCGGTAGTAACCAGTCATCACCTGACCCTTGTCCAGCACTGGGCCCAGCCCGGGGCGGGGCGGGGGTGTGATGGCCGGAGAGAGACAGACAGGTGGACAGGAGCAGACAGGAGAGAGGGAGAGAGGCCAGGAGCGGACGTCAGGGAGACAGGAAGGGGAAGACAGTGGGGAGGAGAGAGCCAGAGTCAGAGACCGGGACACAGTTCAGCATTGCTGCCACTTAGGTTCTTAAGGGTGGGCCAGAGTCCCCGCAGTCCCCTTGCTCCCGCTCCCACCCTGAGCCATTGCTCGGGGTCTCCTTGCTGCTCGTCCTGTGCTGAATGGAGCCCCTGGAGCCAGCGGTGCAGCAAGAAGGACCGTGGCCAGCCCTAAGCAGGACTTCCAGGGAGCTGGGCGGTGGGGTGCTCAGGTCTGGGGGCGTTGGTGGAGGCGTGACTCACAGTCCAGGTGGCTTTGGCGGATCCTGGTTGCGTCCTGTCCGTGGACAAACTGGTAGCAGCTGCGGCCCACCAGCTCTGAGGGCCCCAGGTCCATGTGGTCGCTGACCCTGGGGCGACAGAGAGAGGAGGGCAGGAGGACTCTGAGAGCACGGTGGCCAGGAGGGAGAGTTGGCTCCAGAGTCACCTGGGGTTCCAACCCTAGCTCCAGGCCTCCATTTTCCTCTCTGTAAAATGGGGACAATAACCGTGTCCCTCCCAGGGGGGCTGTGAGCATTCAGGCAGGTGGAGACGCTCGGAGCACAGGGGCCGTTTCACCGTTTAACTTTGCCCCTGCGCAGGGCAGGACAGGGAATGGGCGGGAGGTCAGAGAGAAAGGGGCTGAGACTGCCCATCTCTGCACAAGCAGCCCAGGAGTGAGGTCCCTAAAGGCCCCCGCCCCGCCCCCACCTTGCCTTCCCTCCCTTCTTCCCCTCGCCCGCCCCCTGCTGCTCTTCCACCTCCAGGACGCCCCCCAGGTCTCCTGTGCGCCCCATCCAGCCCCCAACCCCGGTACCTGCTCTCACAAGCAAGGATGGTGAGGCCCAGGCTGAGCCGGAAGACGATCATGTGTCCGTGCAGTGGCAGCTCAGCCAGTGGGGCTGGGGGCAACGTGTGGCCTAGGGCCACAAGGCCCAGTGCGTGGGCCCGAAGGCGCCCAGTCACGTGGATGACCTGCTGGCGGTGGCCATGGTTGGAGGAGGGGCAGAGCAGGGCCCAGGGGGCAGGAGGCCCATGACCATCAGGCCACCAGGCCAGGTTCCACCTGTCACCCACAGGCCCTGGGGCACAAGGGGCAGTGTGTGCCACCCCCACCCCTAGTTCCTGGACCTGGTTTCCTAAGCCACGGGCAGCCAGTGAAGCCACCAGCCTGGTCCCCTCAGTCCCCCTGGGGCCTGGAACACAGCTGGTGGGAATGGGGGAGCCCTGCCCCCAGGGGAGGGAAGGAGGAGCCAGGCTGGGCCGGCCACCACCACCCACCTTGTACCCCGAGGCCTTGACGTGCAGCCCCCGCTTGGTGAGGGTGGATTTCATGCGCACGAAGAAAGATCGCTCCTGGGCCAGGGGGGAGGGGGGCGCCTTGGTGGGGCTGGCCTCTGGGGGGGACAGCGAAGGAAGGTTATGGGGGCCTGGGGAGGAAGCACATGGGTGCCCCCACCCCTGCAGAGCCAACGGGATACCCACAGGGTCACGGCCACACTCCCAGACACGCCCGCGAGTCCTGCAAGCTCCTGATCACGAGTTCATAAGCTCCCCGTATGCGGCTGCCCGCTGAGTCTTTCTAGAGCTCACGTCTCACCCCGTCTGCCCTTGCTCTGCAGCCTGCTGTAGCTCACTAGGGCCTTCGGAAGAAAGCCCACCTCTCTGGCTCCATCCTCCGGGAAGCCCTCCCTTCCCCGGGGCTGGGTCAGCTGCAACAGCCCCCTCGCCGGTGCCATTGTCCGAGGACAGGTCCGTCTGCCCCACTGGACTGTGAGCCCCAGGTGGAGAGGGCTGGGGCTGTCACGATCACTACTGTGTCCCCAGACAGGGCCTGGCACAGAGCAGGGGCTCGGGGAATAGCAACAATTAAGACTCACGAGTCCAGATTATTCTGTGAACCCCACAATACAGTCTTATAAATAGGCTCCCGCAGATGACCCGTGCCTCACCCGCGTCCAAGCGGAGCCCCACGCCCCGCCAGTCCCCCTCCTGCCGCACACGTCTCCCCACGCTCTCGCGAGCAGCTGACGGCTCAGATGTTTTTCATGTGAAGCAAACCCAAGATAGGAAAGTCCTATTTACAGGACAGCCTCACAGGCCCCCTCCGACTCGGAGCTACAAGCAGCTGTGGAGTAATCTCCAGTCCCCTCGCTCCCCGGCACTGGCGTGGAAGTTTCCGCTGGAGAGAAAGGTAGGAGCCCTGAGCCTGGAGCGGGACAGGCCGGGCCAGAGTCCAACTCAACCACTTAGAGCCGTGTGACCTGCAGCAATTAACTCGACCTCTCTGTGCTGTGCCTCAGTTTTCTGCTCTGTGAAATGGAGATAATAATTCCTGCTTTGCGGGGTTGTGGTTAGGAGCCAATGCAGTTATGTGCCTTTTTTTTTTTTTTCTTCTTTTTGAGACAAGTCTTGCTCTGTCCCCTGGCTAGAGTGCAGTGGCGTCAGCCTAGCTCACTGCAACCTGAAACTCCTGGGCTCAAGCGATCCTCCTGCCTCAGCCTCCCGAGCAGCTGGGACTGCAGGCAAGTGCCACCGTGCCCGGCCTGCAGTTATGTCCTTAAAGACACAGCACAGTGTACATGTGCAATCAGCCCGCCTCGCTGTTATTTACCAATTCAGAAGCCACTCCCACCTCCCTTCGGCAGCCAGGGGGCGGGTCTTTCTAAAGCTCACGTCTTGGGGACCCAGGTCTCACCGCCTCCATTTAGACTCCGACGCATTTTGCAAAGACGATGCATTTTGCAAAGACGCACAGCCCGGAGGAGAGTGGCTTTTGTGAACACGGGGCACGGCTGGATACGGTGCACCAGGCGGCCCCTGATCTACCCTCAGGCTTCGTCCTTTGGGGCCCCTTAGAATTACCGATCTCGGGAGTGTCCGCAAGCGAGGAGGAGGACGAGGACGAGGAGGAGACGGAGGGCGGCGTTGGGGGGCCCGGGGCGGGGGCCCGCAGCCCCAGCTGCTCCAGCACCTCCGAGTGGTCCCCGGGGTGGATGTAGTCGAAGACGCTGCTGCCCGTCAGCTCCACCTGCCGGCGGCGGGGGGCAATGCAGGGCGGTGAGGTCGCGCGGTCCCTCGCCTGCGGGCAGGTGCGCCTCGTGCCAGGCTTGTGGTTTTATTCGCAAGAGATTTTTAAAAGGCGGATACAGTCTTAGGCTCTTCTCGCTTCCTAACACAGAGATCAGTAAGGATTCCCTGCCCCCGACTCCTGCTTGCTCCCTCCCTCGCAGACAGCGGGCCATCGTGCCCCGCCACGCGCCCCGGGATGTCGCAGCAGGAATGGGATTCAGAGTACAAGCAGTGGACTGGCTTTCCAACTTTTTAAAGAGTTAGGGCCTTTGAATCAGACACCGTGTCACTCAGAGCTGCCGCCCAGAGCCCTCCCGCAGCTGCGCCCTGGACCCTCCCCAGCCCATCCCCCCCACTGTGTCCCCCCCACTGTGTCCCCCCCCACTGTGTTCCCGCCCCAGCGTCCTCACTGGCCTTCTGTCCCCACTCCGAGGCCGTGGCCGCCACTGCTTCCCAAAAGCCCTCATATGACCCTCTGGGCTCCCTCCACACACCAGCTTCGAACCTGTCCTCCCTCCTTCCCCTCCTCTGTTCCAAAGTCCCCTCCCTTTGGGTCTTCCTCCCCGAGAAGTCTCCAACAAGTCACCGGAAAGCTGCCCCCAAAGAGGAAATTGCCAATGCACTGAATTCCCCAAATTCCCTGTCTGCCAACCAGGTTTGTTAAAGTGACAAAAGGCGACAGTAGTCTGCAAGGCCCGAGGGGTCGTGGGACGCCCGGGCCCAGCCGCGGGCTGTCAGCAGCTCCCTGCCCTGCTTTGACTTGTCAGCCCCTGGCTACAGAAGCCGGGGCAGAAACACCGCGCTGAAGTAAGGACAGACATGCAGGCGGGCCAGGCGAAATGCCACGGAAAGCCTGTTGTCAACCTCCAACCCTTCCGATATGAACTTCTGCAAACCTTTAAAATTGTCAAGAAGAAACAAGTGTTGGCAAATACGCAGCATCTGGCCAACCGGTCATTGGCAAACTGATCTTCCAGCTAACTTGCTTTCCTCCAAGTCACCTGTGACATTAAAAATCCTCCTCTGTCTGTGGGGATGAGCCATGTTGGGTGCCATGTGGGGTTCCAAGGAACACTCTTTGGGAACCACATACCCAAGGCCATTTCTCTTGCTGGGATGGCGAGGCCGGATGAGAGGAAGGGCATGCAATGGCCCTGGCCAGGGGGTTGGTGGCTGAGCCAGTACAGGTGGCCCACTGGAGGCCCCTTACCTGTGAGAGACCCAGGTAAATGGAGACGGTCTCTGAGATGTAGAGGAATTTTCCTTCCTGGTTCAAGGCGAACACGAAGCCATCCAGGGACTAGAGTTGGGACAGACAGGGAGGGGGAGGGGAGGATCTGGAGTCTGTCTGTCCAGACGGCGAATGGTAAGAGAAGTGCTGAAATCTGGTCTCTGGGATGGATGGTTCTGGTGGGAAGAGGGCTTCAGGGACCCTAGGGAGGGCCGCGGAGGAGGGGGAGCCCCATTATTCCTCCCCTCCCCCAGTTCTGGTGCTCCCCTTGGGAACGGTCGCAGAAGAGGCTGCTGTTCCCCAGCAGCGGCCACCAGGTGGCAGCAAGGAGCAGCAGGCAGGGGAGGGTCTCACCTGCAAGATGTGTCCTCCCAGGTGTTGCTCGAAGACTTCCGACACCAGCGCCGCGGCGCCCCGGCGGCCAGGGGCTGGGGACAGAGGGAGGACGAGGCCAGGGCCTGTTGGTCTGGCTGACCCTGGCCGGGCCAGGGCCCCGGAGTCAGTCTACAAACCTCCCTCTCTTTCCCCTAGGCCTGTAGCCATCTTGGGGTACTGGGGGGACCTTGTAGGGGAGAGACTTGGGGTGTGGGGCGGGGCAGAGGTGGCCGGAACAGAAAGATAAACTGCGTGACTAGGGCACACAGAGACAGAAAGACAGGCCTGGGACTGCATCGACGGCTTCATTCATTCATCCATTCATTCATTCACTCAGCCAAAGCTCCCTGAATACCTACCGTCACACATCCTGTCCTAGTGCTGTGGACAGAGAGGTGACCAGGACAGTGCCGTCTGCCCTCATTGGGCCCCCAGGCCAGGGGCAGATGAACGACAAGCCAGAAACTCACAAATACACATTTATCATTTGTGGCCAGTGCTACGAAGACCCAAATAGGTGACATGAAGTGACCAGCGGGCAAGGGCTGCGGAAGGAGGGGCGTGTGACTCGGCCCTGCGGGTGAGGAGGAGGCACACTGGGCGGTGACAGGCAGAGACAGAGACAGAGACGTGTGAAGGAACACTGAGAAAGAGACAGGGACGTTCCAGCTCAGCGACAAAAACACAACTCAAAATGGCCAGAGGACTTGAATAGATATTTCTGCAAAAGAGATATACAGGCCGGGCGCGGTGGCCCATGCCTGTAATCCTAGCACTCTGGGAGGCCGAGGCGGGAGGATCACTTGAGCTCAGGAGTTCAAGACCAGCCTGAGCAAGAGCGAGACCCTGTCTCTACTATAAATAGAAAGAAATTAATTGGCCAACTAATATACATAGAAAAACTTAGCCGGGCACGGTGGCGCATGCCTGTAGTCCCAGCTACTCGGGAGGCTGAGGCAGCAGGATCACTTGAGCCCAGGAGATTGAGGTTGCTGTGAGCTAGGCTGACGCCACGGCACTCACTCTAGCCTGGGCAACAAAGTGAGACTCTGTCTCAAAAAAAAAAACAAAAACAAAACACTGAGTGGCTGCCAGGGGTGGGGTGGGTGATGAGAGTGACTGTTTAATGGGCATGGGGGTTTCTTTTGGGTTGATGAAAATGTTTTGGAACTAGATAGAGGCAATGGTTACACAACATCATGACTATATTCAATGTCACTGAATTGCATACTGTAAAATAGCTAATTTTCTTTTCTTTTTTTTAGTAGAGACAGGGTCTCACTTTTGTTCAGGCTGGTCTCGAACTCCTGAGCTCAAGCGATCCTCCTGCCTCAGCCTTCCAGAGTGCTACGATTACAGGCAAACCACCACGCTTGGCCTAAAATAGCTAATTTTATGTTATGTAAATTTTACCTCAATAAATTTTTTTTTAAAAAAGAGATAGGGACAAAGACATATATGGACATAGAGAAATTGACACAGAGATAGACAGGGAAAGAAAGACAGAGAGATATAAAAAGATGGAGGCTGAGGGCGCAGTGGCTCACGCCTGTAATCCTAGCACTCTGGGAGGCCGAGGTGGGCGGATTGCTCGAGGTCAGGAGTTCGAAACCAGCCTGAGCAAGAGCGAGACCCCGTCTCTGCTATAAATAGAAAGAAACTAATTGGCCAACTAATATATAGAGAAAAAATTAGCCGGGCATGGTGGCGCATGCCTGTAGTCCCAGCTACTCGAGAGGCTGAGGCAGGAGGATCGCTTGAGCCCAGGAGTTTGAGGTTGCTGTGAGCCAGGCTGACGCCACAGCACTCACTCTAGCCTGGACAACAGAGTGAAACTCTGTCTCAAAAAAAAAAAAATAAATGCAGAGACTGAGAGACAGAGACAGAGAGAGACAGGGATGCAGAGACAGATGGCGAATGAGACACAGGTCCCTGCCCCACCCCTACAGTCCTAGACCTTGTACTGCAGGCGGAAAGAGACCTGAGGGTCCCGGAGCCTGTCCCCACCCAGAAGCCCAGGTGACTCTGACCCTGCAGAGGACAGTCCCCCATGGGACATCCAAGCCCAGTGCCAAGAGCAGGGAGCGAGGGTAAGACCTCAGTGACCTCCGGGGTTCCCCAGTGCCTGCTTCCTGTGGGGCTAAGGGGTACAGGTCTGGTATCAAATCCCAGTGCCAGCCCTGGGCCCCGCCTCTTCGCCTCTCTATGCCTCAGTTTCCCCATCTGCCGAGTGGGTTTGCTAGGAGCACTGCATTGGGTGCGCTCACCAGCCAGAAGGGGCCTAGCGTGGGCCAGGGACTCAGCAGGTGCCGCGGAACCCAGAGCTGGGACTGGCATTAATAGTGTGATTACTATTGTCATTGCCAGGCCATCAAAACACCTCGGGAGGCCCCTCCCCTCCCCCACGCAGTCCCCCCCCAGCCTCCAGGCCGCCCCTCCCTCCAGCCCTGCCTGGAGCTCTAGGAACAATAACTGGGTTCTTGGGGGGGGTGATGGGGACCCCTCTCCCGAGATACAGCTCAGAACCAGCCGGGTGACAGGCAGGAACAATGCTGCCTGCTAATTGTCGCAATTTTCCCCTGTCATTTTTGCTAATTCCTTCATTTTCCCTCTCCCAGGATCAGCCTGGGTCAGACTGAGCCGCCGCAATTAACAGCGTTAATGGGCGCGTCGGGATGGGGCTGTGGCGGGGACCCACACACGCCCGTCCCCTGTGACAAGGACCCCCTGAGTCTGTCTCGATCACTGACTGACCCGTCCTATTGCCCCCGACTGCACCTCCGCAGTCCCCCCAACTCCCCGCCCCTCAAATGCCCCCCTCCTCTGGCCGCCCCCCAAATTCCACAGGAGGCTCCTGGCTACTTCCAGATCTGTCCCCTCCTCGCCGGCCACTGTCCCCTCATCCCTGGCACACAGACGGGGCACGGGGGGGGCAGCGAGACCGGGACCCAGGGAGGCCCCAGGGCTTACCCTCCACCTCCCATTCTCGGGGTCTCACCTGCCCCGAGCGGACTCGCTGACAGGGTGTTTATTAGCGAGGACAGGCGCGTCACCCTGCCAAGTCTGGGACAGGGACCCTCCCCACACCGCCAGGGCCTGGGTCCCTGGGGAGGCGCCGTGCTCACAGCACTGCTGCCTGGACTTTTCCCAGCCTCATCTGCAAAATGGGTCTAGTGATAGAATGGGTTTGTGCATGGAAAAGCGCCTTCAGCGTACACAGCAGGCATACAGTGGGCGCCTAATACCTGAGTCCTGCCACCATTCTTCTCAGTATGATACACATGACATCAGGTGCTCACACCTTTCCAGGCGCTTCCCTGCGGTCTGCCCTCGCTCTCACAGCCGCATGCATTTTCAGCAAGTCCCCGGCTGGGCCCGGCCATGTCCCCTGCATCGGCCACCTGTCACCCACCCCGCCTGGACCCCAGCACCTGCCGCCCCCCAGGGCTCCCAGCTTCTGCTCCCCCCACCTCCCCCGCTCCAGGCTCCCTGGGCAGCAGCCTGATTGTCACCACGGGCCATGAGGCCCTGCCCCCGCGGCGGCCCCTTGATCACCGCTGTGCGTTCCCCCTTGGCACTGGCTGTTCCCTCTGCCTGGAACAGCTTTTCTCGTGGCTTCCTCCGCACCCCCTTGGAGTCTCAGCCCCAAAGTTACTGCCTGACCTGCGATCTAAGATGTCACAGGTCACCCGACTCCCACAGCCACTCAGCAACTACTGATTGAGCCCTCCCTGTGCCCCAGGCACGGTTCCAGGCTCGGTGACCAAGGGGCTGTGGGGGAGGGACACGCAGTGACACAACAAACGGGAGAAATGAGTACAGACTGATAAGTGCTATGGAAAGGAAGAAGGCAAGAAGGGAAGACAGGGAGTGCTGCCAAGTAGCAGTGGTGTCGTCGTGTTTACCGAGGGATCTGGGAAGGCCTTACTGAAGAGCTGACATTTTGAGGGGAGCTCCTGGTGGCCATCACAGCATGTGCAAAGGCCCTGAGGTGAGGAACATGCTTCTCTGAACAACAGCAAGGAGGTAAGTGTTGGGGGCAGGAGATCAGGAGTGGAGTGGGCAGAGAGCCTTGCAGGCAAGGTTTGGGGGTCCCACCCTCGATGGCAAGGACTATGTGTTGTTCCCTGTGGTGTCACCAGCACCCAGGCCAGTGGCATGGGGAAGATATTTAGTAGTGCTGGTGAAAAAACAGGGAACCCTGACATGAGACCCAGGCTGCCGCCTCCCCACACTCAGAGGCTCAGGGCTAGACTTTAACACCTGCTGTCCCTGGGACTGAGACCCAGGGAGGCAGTGACAAGGCAGGACCCGTCCCTGTGGACCTACACCCACCCCAAGTACGGAGGTTCGGAAGGTGGACCCTGGAGCCGGGCCATCTGCCCTGCAGTCCTGGCTGTGTGACTTTGAGCAAACAGCTTCACCTCTCTGGGCCTCGGCTTTCCCCTTCTGTAAAATGGGAGCCCGTCTGATACAGCAAGCGACTCTGGACACAATGCTGACCACGGTGTCTGTCACATGCAACGGGCCATTATTACTATTATTTTTGAGGAGGGCAGGGGCGACCCGGCCCTTCTGACAGTGCCAGGCACCTCGCTTTGCTTTCTGGCTTCAGCTAAAGCGGCTGGCCTCAGTTTCCCTATCTGAACGCAGGTGCCTGGCCTCTTGTTAGGGACCCCGTAGAGCTAGAAATGCCCCTGTCGCCTGCTTTCCCAATTTGAGGGCTATGGGAGTCCCCGCGGCACCGCGCTCAGGCACACGGTGCGGGCGGGGGTCGATCAGGCCCGGGGTCTGCCACCTCTGGGCTGTCACCTCAGTGGCCCGGCCTCCTCCAAGCCCCGGAAAGCCCATCCGGGTATGGGGGGGCTGGACGCGCGGGGCTCTCTCAGCCGCCCCCTCCCGTCCCCCAGCTCGGGACAATAGACAAGATGTTTATCCCCCGCCGCGCACGTGTTGTTCGGGTAATGACAGTAATCAGCCGCGCTAATGCCGCATTCTCTCCGCGCCAGTCAATTCGCCTAATTGCCGCCTGCGAAGCCGGATTATTTAAATTTAAATGGTGATTTATTGCGAGCTTAATCAATGCTATTTTCTCTCCCCCTTCTTCCCCGGGATGGGGCAGGAGGGGGACTGGAGCCCCTCCAACCCCAGCCCAGGACGCCCCCTTTTCCTGGAGGGACGGACAGGGCCAGCCTGGGGCGCCCTGGCCCTTCACCTGCGACCTGAGTAAGGCGACATTCAGTGCCTCAGCAGCCAAGCACTTAGGTGTGAAATAGAAGGAATAATAATAATAATAATAATAATAACAACATACCCGCGTTATTGGGTCTCAGTAATAAAGTCCGGGTAATCTCGCAGTTAGATACCCGTGTGCGTCTGTATTGCGCGGGTTCTAGTTGTACATATCATAGGTTATGTTGTGTTTTTATTTCTTTATCGTTGTATCCTGGCCACCAGGATGCCACCTGCCCCGGGGCAGGGACTTCTGTCGTTCGCTGCTGGATCCCAGCGCTCGAACCCGCGCCAGGCCCGCGGGAGACGCTCAGTAAACCGCAGCCGCGGTGACAGCCGGGCCACCTGCGGGCTCGCGCTCTGAGCTGGGCACAGCCGAGGCTCTGCCGACACTGCCGGGTGGTCCCTGTCCCCGCCCCGGGGCGGCTTGATCCGCACCCCCACTTCACAGATAAGGGGCGCAGAGGAATGGGGCGACCTGCGTGGGGTCACAAAGCTGGGGAGTGGCTGGCGGAGACAGGGACTCGGGCGAGTCTCCCTGCGGCTCCCCATCTGTCCCCCTCTGGCTCCCTCAAACCGGAAACTCAGGCTTCAGAGTCCTTGCGACCCGTCTCGGGCCTCTCAGGTCTGGGCGCGGGGTCTCCCGTTTATTAGCGAATGGGTCACCCAGGGTGGGTCCCCTCGCTGCACGCTTCATTTCTAATAAACATACAGTTGTCACTTGCACTAGAGGTCTGATCCCTCGTGTTGCCAGGCCCTTGCAGAATTCACGCCATCGTCCCAACCTCTTGTGCCCATTTTACAGATTAACAAACTGAGGGTTGGAGCGCAGAAGCCACCTTACCTGACAGGGACACACCAAGGTTCTGGCTAACTCCAAACCCCGGGCCTCCTCCCAGCCAGAGGGCCGGGCGACGGCAATCCCGGCTGCACCCAGTCGCCCCAGCGCCCCAGCGGGGGCTGGGACCCTCGCCCCACGCATGCGCACTCACCGAGCCCGGCCGGCGGCGCGGCGGCCCTGAGCCCCCAGGGCGGCGCCCCCAGCGCGGCGAAGCGGCGCAGGCGGAGGTAGGTGACGCTGAGGCGCACGATGGACGCCTTGTCCAGCTGGCTGGAGATGGCGCCGGGCAGCGGGAGCAGCTTGGCCAGCTCGAAGAACTCCAGGTTCTCCTTCCCGCGCCGCGAGCGCGCCGCGTTCCGCGACTTCTCCTTGCGCTGCGCCTGCAGGCTGGGCGGGCGGCGCGGAGGAGGCGTCAGCGGCCCGGGGCCCAGAGGCCTCCCGGGGCCTGGGCTAGGGGCCGGGCCGCTGGGAGTGGATTCGACCCTCCGGAGGTGGGAGCAGACCTGGGTGTGACTTGCGGACGGCGGCCGTGGGGACGAGCCTGGGCGCAGACCCGGGGGGGGCGTGGGGGCGGCCGGCGCGGCTCCGAGGCCGCGGCAGGGGCGGCGGGGACAGAGGCTCGGCGCGGCCGGGCCCTGGGGCGGGCGAGCGCCGGTGCGAGCGCTCCCGAGGGAGGGGACCGACGACGGTGCGAACTGTCCCCGGACGCCTCCCTGGGGGCGGGGCCGCTGCCGGGGGCGGGGCTTTGCTCACCAGGGGCCCGGCGGGGCCTTGACCATCAGCCCGGGCAGAAAGTCCCACGGGACGCCGGCGCCGCGGCCGCCCCCGCATTTGCCCTCGCTCCCGCCGCCACCGCTGGGGTAGGGGGCCGCCATCTCCCGGAGGGCTCGCTCAGGCGGGCTCCGAGCCCCGCGTCTCCTGCGGCGGGAAGGGGCCAGAGGCAGCACTCAGTGCCCGCGGGACACCTGCTAGGGAAACTGAGGTCCGTGCGGGCTCCGTGGTCCCAGGGTCCCAGCAAAGATCTGGGGCTGGAGGGTGCCTCAGTTTCCCATTGCTGGAAGCCCCGGTAGGAGGCCACAGCTCCCACCCTGCCCTGCCCGGGACTGGCGCTCCGGTGAGGACGTGCCCCGCCGCCGCCTCCCCCGCGCCGCCCGCCAGCGCGCCTGCCGCACGCCCGCGCCGGGCCGGCTCCCGCATACCAATGGGCGCACGCGGCGCGCATACGGATCGGACCGGCCCGCGCTGCGTGCCAAGCATGCCCAAGCCGAGCGGGGGGCGGCCGCCTCGCGGGGCCGGCACGCCCGGCTCCAGCGCCCCGGCCACCACCCGGGGACCCGCCCCCAAACCCCCGGCGCCCGACCCCCGGTTTGCAGGGGGCCCGTTTCCCCCGCGGGCTAAGGAGGTAGGGGCAGAGGCAGGGACCCCATCCCACGCCCTGCCGGGGACGGCCCTCCCCAGCTCCTCGGGGTGGCGCCACGTGTCCCGGCCGCCAAATCCCCGCAGCCTCAACTTCCCGAAGCCCCCGGCGGGCGCCCCAGGCCCGACGCAGCGGCCGGAGCCGGAGCCCGCGGACCCCTCGGGACAGACCGCAGCGGGCCCGGCGGGCCCGGTGTCCCGACCCCAGAGCCAGGGCCGCGTTCACCCGGGTCCTCCCTCCCTCCCCCAGGCCGGGCGTGCAGGACGCCCTCTCCCTCAGGAGGACCCAGGTCCCCAGCAAACGTCTCCGGCCAGGTGTCCAGATGTCCCAGACCCCGCGTCCCGGCTCGCGGCCCCTTCCCCGGGTCCCCAGCACGCGCGTCCCCTCCGCAGCCTCGAGGTGCAGGCGTCCGCACACCCAGCCCCAGGACACCAGAGTTCCAGCCCCCGCTCCTCCAGGACCCAGAAGTCCCCCTTCCCCTCGTGCCAGCCTCCAGGCGTCCCCTACCCGCAGGACAAGCAGCCCGGGTACCTGGCCGCAGGGCGGGCTCCGGGCGCGGCGTGGGGCCGGCCGGGCGGCGCGCAGGGGCCGCGCCATAGACCCCGGGCATGCGGGGCGCAGCGGGACGCGCGGGCTGTGGCGCCGGCTCTAGGTGCCACCGCAGCCTCGCAGACTTGGAGGCGCGGGGACAGCGCGGGCGGGGGCGGGGCCTACTGGAGTCCCGCCCTCGGCCCCGCCCCGCCCCTCGCGCCTTTCCCGCTGTGCCGGCTCCCACTACCCTGGGGACCCAGTGCTCTCACCCCGCGGCGACAGCGGGCGTCAGAATGAGAACCTCGGAGTCGGAGCCCCCCCAAAAGGGGCGCCCCGGAGTCCGGGCGCTGCTCCACACCCCCGGGAGGAGGCTAGCCCCCCAGCTCCCCCGAGAGCGCCTGGGACCCCGCGGCCACCCGGATAAGGCCGCTAGCCTGCGCCCCAGCCCCTGGGCAGCGGAGACTCGGACGTCAGCGACCGCTCCAGGGACACAGATGCAGGCGTTCGAGACCTTTCCTTTCCAGGAGAGAACTCCCAGGTGGCAGCTCTCTCCCCCAGCAAGGCGGCGACTTCGCACTTGGTCAAGCGCCACCTCCCTCACAAGGCCAGAAGGCACTTAGAAGCTTCTAGGAGACCCCAACATGGGGAATGAAGATGGGGATCTTACGCAGACAGTCAGGGGCTCACAGCATGGGCCTGACTCTGGGTGGACACATGGGGAAACTGAGGCCCATATAGACACCCGTGTGCACTGGCTCATGAGAGCACTCAAACTTGTTCATGACAGTCATAGTTAACAACTAGGGAGGCTTGTGTTCTGCTAATCCTTTATTCCATAGCGGTGTCCTGGGACAGCCTCTATTACTAGCCCTGTTTTACAGTTAGGGAAACTGAGGCACAGAGAGGCTATCTAGCCTGGTTATTGTGGTCTCTAGGCCGGTATTTCCCTATTTATTCCCAGGGAGACTTCAGGGCACCCACTCAAGCTCGGTTCACTGGCTGCTGTCTCCTGACACCACTTGCTGGTGTCGCCTCCTAGCCAGCCTGAGCAGAGCCCTCACACGGTGCAATTTACTTACAACTGCAGGGGTTTGCACCCCGCTCTGTCACCAACCAACGGCGACCAAGCAGGGAATTCCACTCCTCTGGGCTTTAAATTTTCTCCTCTGCGAAATGAGTATAATCTCATTCTGGCCCCGTCTCATCGAGTCATCGTGAACACTACCCAAGTTCACCCAGCAGGTCTCAGTGTGACCTGGGGACTGGTCCCCCAGAGCCTCTCGGGGCTCTGCCGGGTCAGATTTTCAGATTGACACATTTCCTGCCTTTTCCACTTCATTCTCCCACCAGTGTCTGCTGGAGTTTTCCAGAAGTTTTATGGTGTGCAATATCACAACAGACCGACCGCAGGGGCAGCCATGAGGTCCTGGCGTCTTGTATTAAGCTGGACGGGAAAGACATCGGCAAAAATGTGAAGGAACGGCTCTCCTCTCACTAGCGATTTTTGTATTGCAAAATACATATTTTTCTTTCTTTTTCTTTTTTTTATTTTGAGACAGAGTCTCGCTTTGTTGCCCAGGCCAGAGTGAGTGCCGTGGCGTCAGCCTAGCTCACAGCAACCTCAAACTCCCGGGCTCAGCGAAACCAGCCTGAGCAAGAGCGAGACCCCGTCTCTACTATAAATGGAAAGAAATTAATTGGCCAACTAATATATATATATATATATATACACACACAAAAAAATTAGCCGGGCATGGTGGCGCATGCCTGTAGTCCCAGCTACTCGGGAGGCTGAGGCAGGAGGATCGCTTGAGCCCAGGAGTTTGAGGTTGCTGTGAGCGAGGCTGACGCCACGGCACTCACTCTAGCCTGGGCAACAAAGTGAGACTCTGTCTCAAACAACAACAACAAAATAATAAATAAATAAATAAAATGAATGTATATATTTGAAATTCTCAGCTTTAATTTCTAATATAGCAAAGTTTAATGCCTCATAAAACAAAAATAAAAGCTGTTTGGAGTCTTCAAGAAGAGTGTAAAGATGTCCTGAAACTGGGCCGGGCGCGGTGGCTCACACCTGTAATCCCAGCACTCTGGGAGGTCAAGGCAGGCGGATTGCTCGAGGTCAGGAGTTCGAAACCAGCCTGAGCAAGAGCCAGACCCCGTCTCTACTAGAAATGGAAAGAAATTAATTGGCCAACTAATATATATATATATATATATACACACACAAAAAAATTAGCCGGGCATGGTGGCACATGCCTGTAGTCCCAGCTACTCGGGAGGCTGAGGCAAGAGGATCACTGGAGCCCAGGAGTGTGGAAGTTGCAGTGAGCTATGATCCACCACTGCACTGTAGCCAGGCTGACAGAGCAAGGCTAACATCTCAAAAAAAAGAAGAAAAATAGTCCTGAAACCAGTAAGTTTGAGAACCGCTGAGTTAGGCCATTTAAAGCTGACCTGAGCCAGGCACAGTGGCCATAATCCCAGGGACTTGGGTGGCTGAGGCAGGAGAATCGCTTGAGATCAGGAGTTTGAGACCAGCCTGGGCAACATAGCAAGACCCCATCTCTAAAAAAAAGTTCAATATTATTATATACACTCAAAGACACATGTGCTGTCACATACCCAAACTCAAATAGTCTTACCTATACACTAGTTACAGAGTCACTGACACACACTCTCTATTTGGGCCTCAGTTTCCCATCTGTGAAATGGGTGGGCTGCACCATGATCTATGTCCTTTTGGTGTTCTGATGGCGAGGGTGAGAAGCTTCTAGGCCTTGGGAGCTTGGGCCCTGCCTCTGGGAAGTATTTGGGGAAGTCCAGAAGGGCTGGGGCAGTGGCCAGGGCAGGCAGCGTGGGAGGGACACGGTAAACCTAAGGCCCAGCTAGAATGAACCCGCCCCCCCACTCCCCTGCCCTGCCCCCGCTCCCCCCTGCTCCCCTGTCTCTAGCGCCTGCCACTGGCAGAACCCAGTTGGCAGCTGAAGATCGAGGACGTTTGGGGTGAACACACTCAGCGATCAGACTCTTAGGGGCAGAGCGGGGCAGGGAGTAGCGCTGGAGGGAGGGGCTCGTGGAAATATCCAACACCTGTCACCCTCGCCTGGTCCCCCAACCCCTCAGCTGCATTCGGCCCTCCTTGGCCATCCTCCACTTCTGAGACATTTATGTCCCAGTCACAGCAGTGAGGCCTCGCTACGCCTGAAGCACCCCAGGTGGAAGAGACGAGGAAAGGCAGCATGTTCTCTTGTGAGGTGGTGAGCTCCCTGTCACCAGGGGAAATCAAGAAGAGGACCAAGGATTTTGGCGGGTACTGAGAGCATGGGGTGTGTGTGGGTGTGCTGGGGGGTGGTTTCCAGTGACATCTACCTGGGCATTCTCATTCCTCACTATTGGGAAGGGGAGAGCACAGTTTTAAGGAGGTGACTCAACAGGCTCCAGTTCAAACTGGCTCCACCTGTGGGAAGTTGGACAGCTTCCTTCAGCTCTCCCTGCCTCACTACCCTCACCTGTAAAATGGGAACAATGGATCAGTCCTCCCCAAATTATCTCGAACATAGAATTGGGGGAAAGAAATTCTAGGAAAATGAGCATGGGACGAGCCTATTGAAAAAGGTCTGAATGCAGGTACCATAAACAGTGTGGCATTACTTGGGGATGTGATCCTGGGTGGCTCTGTGACATTTTGGGGCGCGGCTGAGTCTGGGGAGAGGGAGGGGCTGGGTGGGCGGGGGCAAAACAAGGGTCACAATGCTGATGGCGGGTGACCCGGGTGGCCGGGTAATTGTCACTGTTAGCATGTAACTCGGGCAGATGTGTTTGTGTTGTGTGGAGTTCATGGTTAAAAACAATAGGAAACGGGGAGTTATGGGTTGAACCGTGTCCCTCCCCCAAATATGTCCTAACCCCTGGAAGGTGACTTGATTTGAAGACAGGGTCTTTATAGAAATAGGTTAAATTGAGGCCACTAGGGTGGGCCCTAAGCCACTATGTCTGGTGTCCCTAGAAGGGGAAGTGTGGACATGGGGGTGGGGGTGAGGAGACACGCAGGGGACAGCACCGTGTGGCGTGAAGGTGGAGGTGGGGGTGACGTTTCCACGAGCCAGCGGATGCCAGAGGCCATCAGCAGCCACTAGAAGCCGGGATCGGGGATTGGCCCGGGCAGCCCTGCGACACCTTGGTCTCAGACTGGCAGTCTCTGGAGCTGGGGAACAAGTGTCTGTTGTCTCAAGCCACCCAGTTTGTGGTCCTTTTTATGGCAGTCCCGGAAAAGTGGTCCAAGAGGCCTGGGAAGTGACTGCGGTGGGTCCCAGGGTCCTTTCTGGATGGTGAAAATATTCTAAAATTGACTAGTGACGTCGCACAACTCTGTAGACATCCTGAAAACCACCGAATATGCTGGAATTGGCACTTTAAATGAGTAAAGTGAGCCGGGCGCGGTGGCTCATGCCTGTAATCCTAGCACTCTGGGAGGCCGAGGCGGGCAGATCGCTCAAGGTCAGGAGTTCGAAACCAGCCTGAGCAAGAGCGAGACCCCGTCTCTACTATAAATAGAAAGAAAGTATTGGCCAACTAATATATATAGAAAAAATTAGCCGGGCATGGTGGCGCCCATGCCTGTTAGTCCCAGCTACTCGGGAGGCCTGAGGCCAGCGTGAGGATCTCCTTGAGCCCAGGGAGTTTGAGGTTGCTGTGAGCTTAGGCTGACGCCACCGGCACTCACTCTGCCTGGGCAACAAAGTGAAGACTCTGGTCTCAAAAAAAAAAAAATTATTTTAAATGGGAGTTAAAGTGCGTTGGCATGGGGGAACGGGTGTTTTGCTTCTAGGGGCTGGCGGCAGGCCCATTCGGATGAATCGGATTGAGGCAGGCTGTGTGGTTGAGTGGGCCTATCGGAACTCTGCCAGCCAGACGGGCAGGTGTCACGGGCTCCTCAGCGCTGGGGAGGCTGAGGCAGGAGGATCACTTACGCCAGGAGGTTGGAGGCTGCAGTAAGCTATGGATGATGCCACGCGTGCTCCAGGCCCTGGGGACAGAGTGAGACCCTGTCTCAAAAACACCAAAAACAAACAAACAAAAAAAGTTAGTACCAGAATGGGAAAATTACATGGAAAATATGGTCTTTCTAGAGACAATGGATTTATTTTTTTTAATTCTTTTTATTTTTTTGAGACAGAGCTCACTCTCGTTACCAGGCTTAGAGTGGGAGTGCCGAGTGGCATCAGCCTAGCTCACAGCAACCTCAAACTCCTGGGCTCAAGCAATCCTCCTGCCTCAGCCTCCCGAGTAGCTGGGACTACAGTGCATTGCGGCCACAATGTCCGGCTACATTTTTTCTTATTATATTTTTAGTTGCGGCCAGCTTAATTTCTTTCTATTTTTTAGTAGAGACGGGTCTCCCTCTTTGCTCAGGCTGGTTTCGAACTCCTGACCTCGAGCAATCCTCCCGCCTCGGCCTCCCAGAGTGCTAGGGTTACAGGCGTGAGCCACTGCGCCCGGCCCCAGACAATGGATTTATAATGCATCTGACTTCATCCCACCAATCCATAAGAGAGAGACAGATGGCATGGTGCGAGCATAGAGCAGCGTGGAAGGACAGAGTTGGGGACATGGGCGTGCCGCCAGGGTCTTGCAGGAAGGGGGTTGGCTTTGGCTGGGGCCAAGACGCAAGTGGCAGGTACCCGAGAAAGGACATTGGGGGCTGAGAGCAACAACAGCCCAGCTGAGGAGGGGACTGGGAGAGTCCAGACAGGAGGTGACAGTAGCTGAGCCTGGTGGCGGTGGAGGAGGGGCAGAAGTGGAGGCATTCTGGAGATATTCCAAAGGCAGAGCGACCGGGATTGGCTGGTGGCTGGAGATGGGTGTGACAGGAGAGGACCAGGGAGGTTGGGGCCTGAGCACTTGCAAGATGAAGCCGCATGTGACTGAGATGGGACAGGTGGGGGCTGGGGGAGGGGCAGGTGTGGAATCTGCGGCCCAAGGGGGTACCCAGGAGAGTGGCCGGAACCCCTCGGAGCTGACTGGGCGTGGGCTGGGAGGTGGACAGCCGGGGCGGGTCCTGGGCCCTAGTTACTAGCGTGTCATGTAGGACAAATCACTTGGTCCCCCTGTGCCTCAGTTTCCTCATTGTAGAGTTTGTGCGAAAATGATGAGTTGACAGATGAAAAGTGATTAAAACAGGACCTCACACCTTGTAAGGATCCAATCATTGTTAGCTTTTTATTTTTTTTCTTTTTTCTTAATGAAGACCAATTCTGAGTACATTGTTAGCTTTTATTAATATTGGTATTGCTATTAATATTATTTGTATATATATTAACCCTTCAGTTCCTGGGAGCCTGTGTCCCTTGACCCCCACTTTCTTCCTCCTCCTTTCAGGTCCTGCTAACCTGACCATTGTCTCTCTCCCCCGGTCAAACGCCGTCCATGGCTCCCCAGTGCCCTCAGGGCAAACTTTGAGCTTATCATTGTGCCCTCCAAGGCCCCTTGTGGCCGGGTCCCTGGCCTTCTGTGACTGAATTGACCCAATAAAAGGATGGGCAGGTGGATGGGTGAAACGACAGGAAGAGCAGCTCATTCCACTGCTTCTCTGGCTGCTCCTGCGACAGTCCCATTACAACTCCATTTTTTCAGAACCTGCCACCTCCCCAGCCTTGGCCCCTTCTCCTAATCTTGCTTGTCTTTGGAAAAAGCCACCACCCTGGTTTCCAACTCCCCCCAGGCCATCCAGGCTGGGCAGGGCGGTGCTCTGCTGACCCCTGGTGGCCTCAGGGGGTAACACGGCGCACTCTGCCGTGCTAGGTGCTCGCTGGCCGGGACTTGGGGAGCACGGCTGCGGCCCTGGCGGCTTTCACAGGGAGTGGGGGCAGTGGCGTGTCATCGGACACTCACACTACTGAGTCAGCCCTGGTGTCATCGGCTCCTTCTCTCACGCGGAGCCTCATGCAATCTTCACCAAATCCTGTCCCCTTGACCTTCAAGATATCCAGGATCCTCCCCCTCCTCTCCACTCCCACCCTCCTGCTCTGGTCTAATCCCCCGTCACCTGTCACCTTCCTCCCGGGACCATCGCTGTCGCCCCCTGCTGGGCGTCTGGATTCTAGGCTGTCTTGCTGATTTCGCCTTTTGCTTCATGGCTCGTTTGACACATAACTGATTCGTCTTTATTTAAAGTCTTGATATTTTGTTCCTTACGGAGTTCTTTTGCATTAACTTTGATTTATTTAAAAAATGCAATTTATTTAGAGCAGTTTTAGCTTCACAGTAACTTCGATTTTGGAAAACACTGCATTGAAATATTTTTATCTTGATCACCGAGTTTTTGTGTGTGTCCCATTATGTTTTGCGCCCAAGGCGAGTGCCCTGCTCGCCTGCCCCTGCTCCTTGCTCCACTCCAATGTCACCTCCTCAGAGGGGTGTCTTCCTGACCACCCTGAACAGCACCCTGCTCAACAACTCCAATTCTCCTGACCTGCTTAATCCCAACGCACAGTTTGCTTGGTTCCTTCTACTGGGCCATCTGCTGCCGCAGGGCTTTTGGCTTTGTTCATGGCCCTGTCCCCCGGCCTGGCACAGAGTAGATGCTCAGGAAATGTGTGTTAAATGGGTGAATTCGATCTGGATAAGTAACACAGGAGAAAAGAATTCTTAAAGAACTTTTTTCCCCCCTTTGAAAGCAAAGGAATCTATCCTGGTTGGGAGTCAGGAGGGCTTTGCCCATGAGTCCTGGAGCTGAAATCGAATGAATGAGGAGGGAGTTGGGGGGATGGGAGGGGAGGAAGGGCAGTTGCAGGAAGGAACAGCACACGCAAATGGGCTGAGGTGGGCAGGCTCACGGGGAGTCCCAGAGGGCTGGAATGCAGAGTGCAAGAAAAGGCTCCCTGGGAGGCTGGCAGGGCCTATGGGCCCTGGTGAAGAATTTGGGCTTCCTCTAAGGGCACGAGGGAGCCCTGGAGGGTTATTAAGGGGGAGCAGCATGGCTGGATCTGAGATTTGGAAAGTTCCCGGTGCCTGCCACATGGAGATGGGAGGGAGACTGGAGGCCAGGAGGTGGCCACGGGGGCAGCTGGGCAGACTTCTAGGCGAGATTGGACCAGGATGGCGGGAAAGCTGGAGTGAAGTGAGCTGGTTGCAAACTGGAACTTGGAGGTACACTCGGTTTGGGGCAGGAAAGGGAGGCCTCCAGGATCTCTTTGGCTTGTGGGGGAACCTGGGGAATGGGCAGATTTGGAGGTTGGAGTTTGGCTGTGGGTGAGTCACGGTGGAGCCCCCGCAGCATGCCACAGGCGGGTGGACGAGTATGGCGTGACGAGTGGAGGTCTGGGGTGACATGGGAGGGGTGAGCTTATACTGACAGATGGAGCCTCAAGTCAAGGGCAAGGCTGAGACCACCTCATGCTACAGACTGCCTGGGGCCTGCCATGCACAAGGCCCCTTGCCGGCATCCTGGGAGGGCACACGGGGGACACAGGACCTGTCCCCCGATGCTCTTGGACAGCAAGAGCCAGGGAAGCAAGGGCTCGGGGAGATAGTGCCAGGGGAGATGGGGAGCTGAGGGTGGAGGAATTCCAGGCAGAAGGAGCTGCTCAAAGCAGAGATCGGAGGCAGAATGCGGCTAGCTGGGGCTGTGCCGAGGAGCCGATCACAGTGGGGGAGAAAGGTCGGTGGAGAGTGGGGCTCCCACGTGGGTGTCAGTGCCCGGCCCGGTCCGCGGGCACCTGCGGCTGCGTGACTGTCCTCACCCCGGCGCCAGCTCCTACTGCCTGGGAGGCTGCCCGCCCTGTGGTGGGGGGGTTAAAGCAACTGGCCACGTCTGCTGTGGGCGCAGGTGGGGACAGTTCCCACTGCTGCACAGGTAAAGCAGAGGGGCAAGATGAAGGGCAGGGGCTATTCAGGGCGTCAGCAGAGTCCCGGCGAGCTGGGTCGGCGCCTGCGCTAGAACGTGGCAAAAGGAACAGAAAAGTGGCGGCTGCCAGTGCTATTCGGGAGGTGGACACGGAGCTCAGAAGCAGTAAAGGGGACAGGGCAGGTTTGAGCCTGGGAGACGGGCAAGCAGGAGGTGCTCCTAACGGGAAAGACTGTTGACCCCAGGGTGCGCAGAGATGGTTGCTTTGCCAGGGATGCTTCTTCAGGTGACAGCCCACTTCCCTCCACCGGGCACTGTTCTGGATGCTGCTGGTGACAGCGGCTAACTCCAAGGACGACAGATGTCCTGCTCTTTTGCTCCAGAGCCTGGCAAGGCCAACGCCAGGGGCTGAGTCTGGCCTTTGGATCCCACTTCTCTGCACATCGGCCCTGACGCCCCTCCCTGGGGACAAGGGCCGAGGGCTGCAGCCTTCTGGCCCTGGAACGCTGGACAAGGCCACGCGCCTCCCTGCCCCAGCCACCCAGGCAGCAAACCCTGGCACTTGCCCCAGCGTGCCGTGGGGACTGGGCAGGACAGCAGGTGCGGATCTCAGGGAAGCAGAGCTGTGAGCTGGGGGAGGGAAGCGGGCAGCCACCCGGCCACCCGGCCACCCGGGGAGGCGCTGGGCCCCGGCGGGCCGCAGCCGGGAGGAGGCCCCCTTCATTTCTCTCAGGTTTGGTTTTTTACAAGATTGATTTATTAACTATGATACATATCACATAAGGCCTTTTCAGTTTTTTACACCATTCCCATGGAGACAAGTACAATACTTTGTAGCAAATACATGATTTTAAAAAACAAAACCAAACGAAAACACCTCAGTCAGAGATGCCTCAGCCTCAGGTTGAGGGCCGGCCATGCACTAATCAGGTTGGAGCCTCAAAAAACCCACGACGTGTTTAAAAAAAAAAAAAAAGTCTGGAAATTAAGCAAACATTCCTAACACCAACTAGAGGATGTGCTGGTTAAAGCCCCTAAAATACAAAGAAATAATTGTTATACTTTCTTTACATACAGTTCTCCACTTTTGCTGCGAAACAGAATCTTGGGCACACAGCCAGACTACTAACACATTTCAATACCATTAATATGTTTTTGTTTTTCTCAGGAAACCGAAAATATTTGTTAATTCAACATATATAAAGATCATTTAACATGTGAAAATACAAGTACCAGAAAAATAAGCTGGCAGCAGCACTATTCCAAATTTTCAAACAAGTTTTATTCCCATACAATTCTGAGACATTTCCTTTTGTTTTTTTTTTTTTCCTTAAATGTACATAGGGGACATGATTCTTTTTAATGCAAACAATAACTTACGCCCTGTCTCGACTACAGTGAAGTGCAGCATGTCCGTGTCCGTCTGATGGGGGGAGTGGAGGCAGGGCCCAGAGACGGCTGCAAGAGGGGTGGGGAGGGCCTGGCTCGAGGGACCTTCTCCAGCAGCGCAGGGCCAGAGGTGACCCGGTTCGCACTCTACCTACCCAGCAGCCCGGCCCCGCCACAAGCACAGACTCCGCCCGTGCCCAGCCCTTCCTGCGCCACGTCCCATCCCCTGGACACAGCCCGAGCTTCGAGGCAGACGCCCCCACGGCACGTGAGTTATGGGGTGACTGAACACCGGATCCCCCCGGCAACTCACCCGAGGCCCCGCAGCTGCCCTCTTGGAAAAGCAGCGACCGGCAGAACCGGCCCTCCACGGCGGGGGCCTTTCTCTGCCACCGATCACTACTTTTTCTAGCCAATGCCCCCAAAGCAGTGCCCTTCTTCTCACAGGAGGGGACAGGAGTGGGATACAGCTGGAGATGACATCTGAGAATGAGATGCTGCAGCCAGACCCGGACCAAGGCCCCCCTCCCCAAGGCCAGCAGGAGCGGCCCGCAGGGGTGGGGAAGGAGGGCTCCTATGATGTCATCCTCTGTCCACTGTGCAAAGACAGACGTTCTGCCGGGACCGTCTCTCCCGGCAGCACACTTCCTTTTAAGCAGGAAGAAAATCCAAGGGAAAATCTGTGCAGCCGAGAGAACAGGAAACAGGAGCTCTGAAGCTCCGCGTTCCTCCTGCAGACGTCTAGTGACGGGAAGAACAGCGTGACAGAATGCAGAATGCATGCTGTGAGACACCCAATGGGCGACACAAGCCATGCCACCTAACCTTGGCTCCCCGTCCTCTGTGTCACCATTGGGTGTCACAGAGCCATAGGCAGTCTTAAGCCCACCATGGAGGGCTGCCACTTCCGGCGAGCATGATGTCTGTGCTTCCGCCGGGCGGGGTCGCCTGCTTGCCCATGTGGACGAGGCCAGTGCCCGCCACCCAGATGTGAGACACGTGCCGCTCCCCTGGGAAAGCACGTTCCAGAGCGAAAGCCCCGGATGAGGAGAGGGGTGGGCGTTAGTCTCTGCGTGGGTCCCATCCAAGTGCCCCTTTGGTCCGCATGCTGGCCTGTCTAGAAGCGGGACCCAGGCCCAGCGCTGGCGCCACTAGCAATGACAATTAGGAAACAACTGACACGTCCTACAGTCAGTCCCTCAGCCCGGAGAAGCGGGCAATGAGCCTGAAGAGCTAGTGAGCAGGGACGAGAGGAGCCCTGGAGCTGCCCGGGCACCGAGCCCTGGCAGGCCTGGACAGCGGGCTGGTGCGTGTGGCCCTGGCTCCGCCCACGCTGGCTGACGGGGGCGCTGTCACACTGGGGCCCCCCCAAGCCTGGTTTCCGGTCCTTTCCCAAGGGTAGGGTACAAAGCACAGGGGTCCTCACTGCGCTGCCCTCACACACCCAGAGCCATCGCCGATGACGAACACACACGTGCAATGTCAGGGGTGGCCCGGCCCAGCGTGCCAGCACCAGGTGGCGGAGTATTAGCCCGGGCATCGGGCGGGGACTGGGCTACTTTTCCCTCTGTTCACACAGCGATGGCCCCACGCCACCCGAGTGGTTTCCCTTCCACCCCAACTCCTCAAAGGGCTGACTGGGTAGTGCGACCAGAGAAAGGCAGAGGTGAAATGGAGCAATTTCTTCATCGGCTGCGGGCTCGGGGTGGGGGAGTCTGAGAACGAGATGATGTCCGCCAACCTCAGCCACAACTAACCCCAGACATCCCCTGCAGCCGAGCCCAGACCTGCGGCCAGGCACAGATCACCGGAAGAGAGAAAGTCCATCCTCCGACATTTACACAAAACACGCCCGGGCCTCGGGTCTCATCCGATTTGTGTTTTTAAAGAGGCGGCAGAGCGCGAGAGTAGCTTAGTGTTTCCATGCACCTTCTCCCCCAGCGACAACTGGAGACAGCCCGCCACCCGGAGACTGCGGTGCCCGCTTGCTCAGGCCGCTCCCAACATACCACAGATGCTGCTTTTTAAAGTGCAAAGAGCCCCGAGCCCAGGGTACCTTAGTGTCAGGCTTCTTAGCTGCAGAGGCCACTGCCCAGCTGTGAGGATGAAAATGTCAGGAGTGGGGGCAGCCACTGTCTGTCGCAGCCCAGCAAGGCCGCAGTGCTGGGGCAGAGTGGGGCATGCAGAGGGCAAGGGGGAAGACCGGGCCGGGGTGGTGGGATGGCAGGATGGCCCCATGAGGGCGCCAGGGGGCCGTCAGTCCTCCACAGTGCCCCCACCCAGCCCCCACCCCACAAACACCCCTGCTAGCGGCTTTCCACAGCTGGTGTGCAAGGATCCCACCCAACACCAAACACGCTAACCCACGCCCCAAGGGCACCCGGCACCCCCACCTGTCCCCACCCGCAGGCGCGCACGCGCACTCCAGCGGCGTTGCCGCGCATGCACTGTGTCCCGCCCGCCGCCCCGGCCCTCCCCGCCAGGGGCTCCATCGTCTTCTTGGAGAAAAGGGGATCTGATGACGAGACCTAAGTGGGACCCCGACAGGCTCTCAGGCCACAGCCCTAGGCATCCCAGTCTTGCTGTCACAGAGACAAGGGCCACCTCCCCGCCTGCCTCCCAGCAGAGGTGGGAGGGGAATGGAATCTTGAGGTCTGTAGTTTTCTTTCTGTGGTTTCTTCCTTTATAATTATCGGAGGTTTTTTTCCATTTTTCTTCCAGTGTTCCTTTGTGTTAAGGGGAACGTATGCGGAAGCGTGTGTGTGTGCGTGCGTGCGTGTGTGTGTGTGTGTGTGTGTGCGCGCGCGTGAGCTGGATGGAGAGGAAGCCACGCTCGGTCCAGGCATGATGCTGTCCTTCTGTTGCTGATGTGCGGGGCCGACGCCCTCCGCATGTACCTTGGGGGGGCAGGGCCATGGCCTGCGTGTTCGAAGGAGGTCACTAGCCAGGCTGTGCTCCCTGTTGCGGGGTGTGCGCAGAAGAGACGGGCAAAATCAACGGGAAGTGTTCTCTTCAGGGGCTGCCGGCCTTGTCCTGGGCAGGCCCGAACCTCAGACCATCCTCCGCCCCCGGCAGAGGCCAGGGCACTGTCCCAGCGAGGGGCTCTGTACAAGCAGGGTGGACGCCCTGAGGCTGGTGTGCGCAGACAGGCGGGCAGGCGGGGCAGGTGGTCCGGGGAGCACGTGGAACCTCTGCCTGACTAGTTCAGTCCTCGAAGGGGTCCGAGTCAAAGCGCAGGGCCCACGGCCGCTGCCTGCAGCCAGCCCCGGGTGTGCAGCACCGGGCCAGGGCACCTGACAGCCCCGCCTGCAGCAGACCGCTGGCTGGAGCCCGCTGAGGTCTTGAGCACGCGATGGGGAGAGGGGCGCTCGCCCCGCCCTGCCCCAGTGGACGCGGTTTTGTTCAAGGCTGGATGCCACCCCACCAAAGAGAGAAGACCGGTTCTCCTGTTGCCCCCGGCCTCAGTGGCTCACAGCGTGTGTTCAGCTTGAAGCTGGGAGGGGAGCAGTGGCTGCATGGGGGACTGGGGGGTGGGTGGAGGCGACTGGGGGGGCGACGGCTGACCTGTGACAGGCGTGGAGGTGAGGAAGGGGACGGTGGAGGCCATGGCCGAGGGGGAGCTGGGCATGGTGCCGGGAGGCTCGCTGATGGGGCGATTGTAGAAGAAGAAGGGGCACTGCTGGATGAAGAGTTCGATGATTGTCTGATAGGTCCGCGTGGCCGTGAGCGCGTCCATGGTGCTGAAATCGGGTCTCATCAAGGTGGGCCAGAAGCAGATGGAGAGGTTCTCGCTGGTCATGAGATTCACCTTGTTGTTGTGGCTGACTCTGCAGGTGACACCAAACACATGGTCAGATCAGTGTGGGACGCTGGCCCATCATGCTCACCATCTTTGTCACCCCGGCCGTGCACCTGCCTGCCTACCCTCCGCTGAGAACCTGGGTGCCACTGTGAGCAGAAAGGTCCCCGCACCGTTCTCCGCGCCCCTGCCCTGCACTGGGAGTCGGGCCGAGGTCCTCTGTGCCCGCTCCGCTCTGCCCACGTGGCCCCATGTGGCCAGGCCCAGGGAGCGGCCTGGACGCCCTGCACAGGGGAGGGCCTCACAAAGCCCTGGGGGTGGGGGGACCGCCTCAGGCTCACTCACCCGACAACCAACATGGGTGACAGTGCTCTGCCTGTGCAGAGAGGGAGGGAGTCTGTGTGTGTCCCAAGCCAGATGTTCATAAAATACCACTTTGTCAACAAATGATTCTGTGCATGAATACACGTGGAAACAGCTGAAAGGGCTTCCTGCCTGCAGTGGCTGGCACCCACCGGACGGAGGCTGGCCTTTGCCAGTGCGCACCTGTCTCAGCACCGCACCCTGCTACATGCTAGCTGGAGAACGGGAGTGCCGGACAGAGACTCTGCGGGGCCCTTAGGTGTTTCGATTCAGGAGATTTCTGGGGGCATCAGCACCAACCAGAGGCTCTTCCCTCTCTGCTAGCGTGGGGAGGGGCGGCTCGCAGGCTCTACACAGCGTCCCACGGCCTTCGAGCCCTGCCGGAGCTGCCTGCACTGTCTGATGCTGGGCACACTTGGGGCCATGGCTCCCTCACACAAAGCCAGGCTGGAAGCCTCATGATGAGCCAAGATGCTCCTCTTTTTGGCGGGGAGGGGACAGGGTCTTGCTCTGTTGCCCTGGCTAGAGTGCAGTGGTGTCACTGTAGCTCACAGCAACCTTAGACTCCTGGGCTCAAGCGATCCTCCTGCCTCAGCCTCCTGAGTAGCTGAGACTACAAGTATGTGCCACCACACCCAGCTAATTTTTCTATTTTTATAGAGACGGGGTCTCATTCTTGCTCAGGCTGGTCTCAAACTCCCGAGGTCAAGCGATCCTCCCACCTCGGCCTCCCAGAGTGCTAGGATTATAGGTGTGAGCCACTGCGCCCGGCCCCAGGATGCTCCTTGTGCAGTGAGCCAGCTGTGCCTGGGAGGAGGCTGACCAGCACCCCAGGCTGACCTCTGACCCACTGCTGCCAGGCTGAGGACGGAGCCTTGTTCAGCCTCATTCTGCTTTTCTCCAACCCTGGCTGTCATGTTTTAGAAGGAAAAACCAACCAGAAAGCCCTGCAACCTACTTGTTTAGGTGAGAGATGACATATTTGAAGACTTCGTGGTTTTCCTTTGGAAATTTCTTTAATACATCCTTAAGGGCATGTAACTTCTGCTCCCGGTCGTTGATTTCTAAGGAGAGAGAAAACCAAAGTCTTTTATGGGGCTGAGGCTGGTGGGTGTTCTGGGGCTCAAAGCAGATACCAGACAATTGGTGGAACCAGTGGGCTAGTGGCCCACTTGGGACATGCTCGTTTCTCTGCCCAGGGCTTTCAGATGAGGCCAACCCCACTCTTTCCCCCAAAGCTTGTGCTCTAGGCTGGCACACCTGGCAGTGGCATGGGTCCAGAGGCAAGGCCTACCTCCGTGTCCCAGGCCCCCACTGAAGGGCAGCACTGTGTGCCTGGGGCTTCCTAGCCCCCACCACCCGAGATGGAACAATCCAGAGTGACTGCACCATAAAGAACACCATTCTTTGCTCATCTGGTTGCCCCTGGAGACAGGCATCCCTACCCAGAAAGCCTGCTTGCTTCCTGACCGGACAGGCGGCTGCTGCCACCCACCCACGCCAACACGCCTTTGAGGGAGGGAGTCTGTCATGAGACCAGGGCTCTATCCTTTTCCTAGAGACACAGGGACCCTCCATACATCTCTCTGCTGGAGGAGCTGATGGAAACAGTGGAGGAATTCTTATGCAGTTCATCAAAGGCACCATGCACCCCCTTCCCCCGCCGCCCACACTTCGCACATCTCGGAATCCTAACGTCCTGGGAGAGGGAAGACAACTGCCCTGGATGAGGCAAGTAGTCCACGCCGGCCCGGTTCAGTCAGTATCCAGTGTCCAGTGTACGGCAGGGACTCTTATCACCCCGTTTTGCGGATGAAGGGTGTGACGCCGGAGACATCTCGGAGCAGGGAATCAAGCCCTGCCTGGCTGGCTGCAGGGCCTGCGCCCACGGCGCTCCCCATCCCTGGGCGGGTCTGGCCTGCCTTGGCTGGGAGAGGTGGCCCGGGCTGGTGAGGCGAAAACGTTCCAGACCCCACCTGGAGTCACACTTTTTTTTTTTTGAGACAGAGTCTCGCTTTGTTGCCCAGGCTAGAGTGAGTGCCGTGGCGTCAGCCTAGCTCACAGCAACCTCCAACTCCTGGGCTCAAGCGATCCTCCTGCCTCAGCCTCCCGAGTAGCTGGGACTACAGGCATGCACCACCATGCCCGGCTAAATTTTTTTTTTGTATATATTTTTAGTTGGCCAATTAATTTCTTTCCATTTATAGTAGAGACGGGGGTCTCGCTCTTGCTCAGGCTGGTTTTGAACTCCTGACCTCGAGCAATCCGCCCGCCTCGGCCTCCCAGAGTGCTAGGATTACAGGCGTGAGGCACCGCGCCCGGCCGCCAAGACACTTCTGTCTGTGCATGGAGAGATATCCCTAGTTTGCACTCCAGGCCTCAGAAAAACCACAGCAGGGTCTCATGAAGGAGATGGCAGCTGTCTCACAGCTAGCGGTCATGCGGGTAGGTGGATGGCTGCTAGCAGGTTTGGGGACATGGGATCGTCTGAGATGGAAGAAAGCGCTGGGCCCTCGCTCCTCCTACACACAGGCACACACTCCTGCCCGAGTCCCGGAGTTCGCCAACTCCCCAGACTGCGTGTTCTCCAGGAAGCCCGTGGCCTCCTGGTTAAAAGCCTCTACAGCAGATGATAGGCCCAGAGGGTCACAGCTGAGAAGGAGCCACACGAGGAGTTTGACATGAGCTAGGCTCGGAAGGACAGACAAGATGTCAGTGAAGGGGAGGGCTGGGCAGGGAGGAAGGTCTTGGGGCGGTCCAGAGCCCAAACCCTGACTCAGGTGGTCCTGGGTACAAATCCTGCCTCCCAATCCAACCAGCTGTGTGACCCTGGGCAAATGACACCTGAGTGTCAGTCTCCTTGTCTGTACAAGGGGTTGATGACAATGTCCCCTTCACTTAGTGACATCACACAGGCAAATGAAGAGCTCACGGTCAGACAGAGAATGAACACGTAGGGGCCAGTGTGACCTAGAGAAGTCAGCGGAAGGACAGGCTGCAGAGAGGGAAGCGACAGAGCTTGAGGAGCTCCCCTGGCAGCCTAATGAGGATGAACACAGGTGAATGTTTGGACTTCAGAGTGTGACTTGATAAAAGCAGCATTTTAGTAACATTTTTCTGTTAGAAATGACTAAAAAACCATGGGAGCTAATTATGTAGAGCTATGATTAGATTCATTTCTTTGAAACCAAGATTTTTTTTTTTTTGAGACAGGGTCTTGCTCCGTCACCCAGGCTATGTTATGCTGCTCTAGCTGGTCTTGAACTCCTGGGCTCAAGTGATCCTGCCGCCTCAGCCTCCCAAAGTGATGGGATTACAGGTGTGAGCCACTGTGCCCGGCCTCCAAGATTTATTCTAAGGGTTCAACCTCAAGGATATACTCTAGTCTCTATGGCCTTGAGTTTTAAAAGCCTTTACTGTTATATCTAAACAAAAAGTTTACTTAAAAAAATAAACTGCTGTAGGGGAGGACAGGAGATTGTATTAGAAAACACAAGAAGCATGTGTGTGGCTGAGAGTTTCACTGGATAAAATAATCATGCCTCCTTCTAGATGTGAGTTCAGCACAAGAGGGCACAGGTCTCTCCGTAGGTGCCAGCACGACACAAACACAGCTGTGTTTGTTTTATTATAATTAGGCACTCAAGTGGCAGCACCTTTACATAAGAGCGGAGTCTCACCCGGTCTTCCTGGCTGGAGGCAGGAAACGGGGCTGGCAAAGTCACTGTCTGCCAGGGATGCCCTCTCCCCTTCCTGTCTGAAGAGAATCAAGGAGGGGTGTTTCCTTTCCTTCTTCCTTTAGGGGCCGGAGGGATGAGGGGTAGGAGTTACTGAGCCTGCTTAGATGATCATTCATGGACCGTCCTCAAGAATTCCGGCAGCCTTCTCCACGCGGCACTTTAGGCAGTGCCTAATAAGGATCTAGATGGTTTGTCTTTTTTTTCTTTCCCTTAGAGCCAGGGTCTCATGTTGCCCAGGCTGGTCTTGAACTCCTGGCCTCGAGTGATGCTCCTGCCTCACACTCCCGAGTAGCTGGGACCACAGGCACGAGCTTTCTCCCCCCTTCCCTGCTCACTGCTTGGTCCCAGTGCTCGTGAGTACGAGAAGCAGCAGGAGGTGGGTGGCAGGAGGGGGGAGGACATCAAGGAATCCTTCCAGTCGAGCCTGGCTCTGTGTCTGTAGCACTGAGAGCCACCTCAATCTTGTCAATGTGCTTTTGACTCTACTCACCTCCTCGCTCAAGAAAAACTCACCCCAACCAGTGCCTCTTTGCTGAGACCTACCTCAGGCCTTTCCACACTATGAAAACACCAGCGGCTCTTATTTAATAGATGGTGCCAGGATGCTGGCAGGACAAGTCACAGCCACTTTCATGTGTTCCTCACCAAAGCTCGAGTGGAAGGCGGGCCTGGGTGTTACCCATATGGTGGCCAAGAAACCCACTGAGGAGGCTGAGCCAAGGCCACAAGGCTGTTGACAGGGAAGACGGAAGGAGACCCAGGCCCGCCGTGGGGCTGCAGAGCGCCCTCTGCCTGCAGAAATCCTTTCTGAAAGGAAAGGGGCTGGGCCCTACAGCGCGCAGGCCTCACTAGCCAGGACCCCCTATTTCTGAGCTTAGGGGCCAGTCAACTGGGACAGCAAGAAAGGTTCAGGGGAGGGATTTTGGGGCCAGCTGAACTAAGACAAAGTCTGGACACAAACTCGCCAATTTAGAACAACTGAGACCCCAAGAACTCAGGAGGAAGGGGGGGGCCACCAGGCCCTTAGGGACTGGCAAGTCACATCTCTCACAGCTCAGATACACCAGGGCTCAAAAGGTAAAAATACTGGTCCAAGGTCACACAAATTGGGGGCAGGGACCATGATCCCAAACAATGTTTTCACCCTGGCTGTGTCACGCTGGCACCCAGGCTGCCAACCCAGTGCCTGGAAGAAGACCCTGTAGGCTGTGACCACCCTGTACTCCTGTGTCTCCCGAAGAGCAAAAAGCCTGGCTCAGGGTCGCAGCCCTCAGCAGCGCAGGACACGCCCGCCGTGAACGTCCTCCTCCCCCAGGGTCACACTCCAAGGCCGCATCGCACTCTGCCGGGCCCAGAATGGAATATCCAGGCTGGCTTTCCCCTGGAGGCGCGACCTTGCAATAACCCGTTCAGTGTCTCCTGTCCCGTGCACTTCTCCATCCACTGCCACCTGTCCCCGTCCACACAGGGCCTGGCACACACTCATATCTGGGAAAGTAATAAACCCTCGCTCAGGCGTGAGCGCACTGCGCCCGCACGCAGCCTGCCCGGCCAGACAAGAGGAAGGCAGGATCCCGGAATCAGCAATGTCACAAGGCATCTTGTGAACAAGAGCCCAGAGCACAGCAAGACCTGTCTGCCCGGCGACCTTGGCAGTTAGTCATTAATTATCTCTAGCTTACGATGTCTCATCTTCACAAGGGAAGGGCAAGACGATAAGCAGGTGGCCTGCAGCACGTTCGGGCCACACGTCCCTCTGACTGTCTCACGCAACCGCTGGCCTTCTCCCCAAAGAGACGGACTCTCAGGAGCAGTTACAGGGGACTCGAGAGGACTCTGGAGCCACAGGTCCCTATGCACAGAGCCTCTAGTCTGAGATGGGCCAGCTGTAGGACCCACCCCTTCCAGCACAAAACCCAAAAAGCAGGGCCTGTGGGGACTGGCTGGACCAGAGAGATTCCAGACAGGTTAGGGACAAGGCCGTCGTGAGAGGAAAAGCAGAGAGACAGGGCAAGAACGATTTTGAAGGCTGAAGTGTGGGGACAAGACAAAACGGGTGACATGAAACCTTTTTCTCTGCCTCCTGAAGTCAGCTCAGGTGCCACCTCCCCCTTCCTCAAGTCCCCTCCTTCCTCTCTCTATCCTCACTGGGTGTTTTCTGGTTGAAGCTCACTGTGTACTGAGGGAGGGCAGGTACGTCAGCCCCAACGCGCCACTCCCTATTGGTGTGACCCTGAGCAGTGTCACCCACGAGAGCCTCTGTTTCCTCTTCTATAAAATGGAGATAAAATACTATCTACCTCAAAGACCACTGTGAAAACTAGATCAGCTGTGCGAATCGCGTGCCTAGCAGAGAGCTGGGCCAGGCCCCCGCGAGCGCAGTCGGTGTGCACTGTGGCTACTGCTGCTGTTTATTTCTGAATCTCCCATACATTTATCATGAAAAACAGGTAGGAAAATAAACTGATGAATAATCACAAAAATCTCTGTTTTGTGGGTGTACCTACAGCAATGTTCAATATTGTGAAATTCGGGAGCTAATAAAACGATTTTTGACAGTGATCCTTGATATCTGTTGTGCTGGGATTTGAAACCAGTTCCAAGGCGTGAACACTCACAGACACAACGGCTCTTAGGCATTGAGTCGAAAGAGCTGGTCAAGTTGATGTTGCCATGGAAACCCAGCCAGTCTGGGAAGAGCCACTTTGGGGCACGACAATCTTTGTTCCATAATGTCCCTTAATGCTAACTTTTGCACTGCCGGTTATGTGTGGCTCAATGCACCCCCGCGACATACACAGCCCCGCCCTTCATCAGCTGCTTTGGCTGGGAGAGGTGCCGTGGCGGTGAGATATGCTCCCCTCCCGGCCCCTCTGTCAGGTTCAAGACAACGGAGCCCCAGCTGACGAGCGTGGGGCACAGGAAACACACAATGGGAAGAGGAAGCAGAGAACCTCCACCCTTTTCCAGGCCACTGCAGTGGCAGCAGCAAGAAGCCACATCCTCAGCAGCGGAACCGCCGATTCCCTATCAATAGCACCTCCCTCTCCTGCTCCCCAAAACAAAAAGATGCTATGTCAGCAGCTCTTGCAGAAACAATGGGATTCTGCTGGGTGCCGGGATTCCACAGGCCTCTAGATGGCGCCAAGTCAAGACAAATGTGGACAGGGACCCAGGGCTTCCGGCAAGTTGGGTACCAGTCCACACCTTGCTGTCTTTCTAGCTTCCGCTCAGAGACAAGCTCAGGTTAGGGTGAGAGAAAGCTGGCTCCGGACAGAGATTTCCCCTGGAATTTCACATCAGGGCCAGCCTGGAGCCTGGGGGAGAAGTGACTGCCGGGACACCTCTATGATCCGATGGCAGGATCAGGGGTGAAGCCTGCAACTGTCCCTGACTCTTGTCTTCAGAAGGCAAGGCAGCCTTGTGACAGTCCCAGGAGTACCATGCTCTCCTGCCCCATCCCCGGTGGGCTCAGGTAAGTTAGGAGCAGCCAACAACTCCAGCCGGTTACGACTGTGGACAGAACAGAGGGAAGCTGGCACCAGGCTGTGGCAGCAAACATCATGGGAAACGCGGACCCTGGAAAGGCGCCCCTGGGGCCCTGCAGCGTTTAGGCTCTGACAGTGGCACCTCCACGGTTCAGGTAGGGGCTTTCTCAGCACCTGTTTCCCTTTGCTGTCACTAAGAGTCAGTAACCCAGGATTTAGAGCCACACCAATCTGTAACCTCTCTAAAATTTCTGCCGACACCATTAGCCCTGTGAGTAAACCGTGCTTGTTTAAAACTCCCTCTTCTGCCCTGGGCAGAGACGAGACGAGACTAAGGTCCCTCCCGCAGCTGCACAGCGATGGCGGCTTCTGGGTCTTGACCTGCCCGAGATACAAAGTAGGAAGGCTGTTGTGGCTTCAAAGGGAGTGAGTGCCACATGCTGGAAGCTGAGGTCAGGCACCCTCTGTGGCACCACACAGAGCCCAGGGAAAGGCTGGCCATTGAGAAGGGTCACCCACACGATGGACAAACACCTCTGAGAGAGAGGCAGGCCAGGGCAGGGACAGCTGACAGGGCAAGGTGGAACGGCATACAGAGGTGGCCATTAAAACCAGAGGTGTTAATGTGCTGCGGCACCAACTGATCACCTGGCCACTGGAGTTGTCCTTTTCCCTCCAGAGGCTGGCTGCTGAAGAGACTGTGGCCCTAGACCACATGTTAACTTCATAGTGACAACAGTAGCAAACTATAGGCAGGGAAGGGTAAGTTAGCCATAAGCAAAGGAGCAGACACGCAACTCAAGTCTGACACCACCAAAACCATGTCCTAATGACCAACAGTTTTTGGGGAAACCTGCAATTCTTCTTGGAATAATCCTCAGATAAGCATCTATGGTCTACCAAAGTTGGGGCCCAATTTGCAAGTCATCTTGGTGTCATCTGGTTCTCCCTCCCTCTGTCTTTCAAACCTGGGTTCTAAGAAGCAGAGTGTCCATTCTGAGGACAGGACCCATTCTTGGGTGCCATACCTGTCTCCCTCAATGCACCCAATGCAGGGCCACACTGGCTGCCGGTACTCACTGTGCGCCTCCACCAAGTCAATCTGCATGTTGTAGGGGACCAGGGGGTCTGGCAGTTCAGAGAAAAAGCTCTTCATGGCACCAGCCACAGTGTTCACTGTAAAGTCTTTCTCTGCCAGGTCCAGGTTGTGATCTGAAAGGAAGTCGGGAAAGTGAGGCCAAACCAATCTAAGCTTCGAGAAGCCAACAGGAAACTTGGGGCTTGGGAGAAGCTAGAGAACCATCCAAGACCCACGGACACTGCCCAGGGATGACCTGGAACCTGGGCAGGCACTTGGGACTGATTGGGATTGGAGAGGTGGTGGCACCCTTGGGTACCAACGAAATGAGCTGCGAGATTGACGCAGATGTAGGCTGACACTAAGGTCTCTTTCAGGGGTTGCAGAATTGCCCCCCTCAACACCCTTCGATAAGGGGTTGTACCCCCTACACCCTGATTTTCCGTTCCCTCCACTTCCCCTCATCTGGCTTTGACGTGCTACAAGTTCTTCCTTGCTCCTGCCCCATCAGGGAAAAAGGGAGGCGGCTCTCCTAAAAGGCTGGCTTACTTCTCAGGTGGGTCACAAAAACGCCACCGACTGTCTTACCTGCTGCCTCCAGCCTTGTCACCTATGGTGGGAGGGCAAATACACTCATTTTTCTCTCTTGCCCCTCCTAGCCAATGGCACACTGACTGTTGTCTCTTACTTTCTTTCTCTTTATATACTTTTATTGCATTTCTATATTTTTTTTTTTTTTTTTTTGAGACAGTCTAACTCTGTTGCCCAGGCTAGAGTGCCGTGGCATTAGCTTAGCTCACAGCAACCTCAAACTCCTGGGCTCAAGCGAGCCTCCTGCCTCAGCATCCTGAGGAGCTGGTACTACAGGCATGTGCCACCATGCCTGGCTAATTTTTTCTATATAGTTGTAGTTGGCCAATTAATTTCTTTCTATTTTTAGTAGAGATGGGCTGGTTGCTCAAGCTGGTTTCAAACTCCTGACCTTGAGCAATCCTCCTGCCTCAGCCTCCCAGAGTGCTAGGATTACAGGCGTGAGCCACTGTGCCTGGCCTTTATTGCATTTCTGATTATGAAGAAATCATTTATTGACGGCCATGACCAATTTCCATTTCTGGGGATATAAGCTGCTCCAGATTCTTGTGTATGAACAAGTGCGTCCCCAGTGTAGGGCTCTAGCCGCACTGTGACCTCGTGTCTCCTACGCCACAAGACTGACAGGTGCTTCCCTCTCTTGTGTGGTCGCCTCTGCCCATTGCCAGCGAGCTGGGTCTGACCATGGTGCTGCCGGGTGCTAGCGCTGCCCACCAGCCCGTGTGGGCGCTGGGGTGTCCATTCCTGGCTGCACCCCGAGGGCCCAGCCACATGCCGCGCCGGGCCCTGCTGTGCTCGCCTCCCTCCCTGGACGCTGACAGCTGGGAACCTGCGCTGCTCTGGCTCTTTTGCTTCCAGCGCAGGTGGACGTGGCTTCTCATCCCACGGGCTGGGCACTTCTAAGAGGCAGAGTGTGGCCGCCTGGCCACAGGCCTCTCAGAGTGAGCTGGCCTAGGAGAAGGCAGTCTCTGCTGAGAGCCAGCGTACCTCCCGGGAGTGTGGCGTGGGAGTCTGGGCCCTAAAGCTCAGCCCAGCGCGGAACATGCCCTCGCTGTCTCCACGCAGGCCCCGAGGAGGGCGGCTGTGGTTACTTGGGGGCTCTGGTCAAACAGGATCAGCATCTCCACCCAACTCTTGTGTCCCATGCCCATGACTGCCCCTGCACGGCCCAAGGAGGCGAACCCCTTAAGAGGGGTTTTTACGCACAGCGCGAGGGGCAGAGCAATCGAGCATGGCGTCTGTGGATGGTGGCGTGGGGCCCGCTGCCTCGACGGGGATGCTTGCCCTCCCCCATGGCACCGTGACGGCAGAGACAAAGCTAACTGGGATGACACGTGGTCTCTTTCTCGGTCAGAGCTGGCACCTCCTGGCTGTGGGTCTGTGGGTGGCAGGAGCACCCCGAGTCCCCGGGGACAGTGCAGCTGTCGCGTCTGGCCGCCGAGGCCTGGCCGGGCTGCGCCCTACCTTGATCGAACTGTCTCTGCAGACTCTCCATCTCCGACTTGTTCCCGCTGACCCGGTAGATGCCTTCGGTGCTCAGCCCTGTGGAGAAAGAAGCAGGCGGCTTAGGAGCAGGAACTGGAGGGCAAAGGAGGAGGAGGCTGGCCGCAGGCGAGCAGGGGAAGCCAGGGAGATTCCACGAGGCACCCACCACGACAGGCAGCAGGGCTAAGCACACTTTCGGATTTGATTTTCCCAGATGTGCCTCCATTTTCTTTTTCACTTAAGATTTAAAAAATACTTGTTTTATAGTAAAAATTAAAAGAATATACAAACAGCTAAAAATAACTTCTGTCCACATTTTTTTTTTGAGACAGAGTGTCACTCTGTTGCCTCGGGTCAGAGCCGTGGCATCAGCCTAGCTCACAGCAACCTCAAACTCCTGGGCTCAAGCAATCCTCCTGCCTCAGCCTTCCGAATAGCTGAGACTATAGGCATGTACCACCATGCTCGGCTATTTTTTTCTATATATTTTTAGTTGGCCAATTAATTTCTTTCTATTTTTTAGTAGAGATGGGGTCTCGCTCTCCCTCTGGCTAGTCTCAAACTTCTGAGCTCTCACCTTGGCCTCCCAGAGTGCTAGGATTACAGGCATGAGCCACCATGCCTGGCCAATAATACTATATTTTAACCCACCATTTTCACTTATAAAGTACATTGCAAACTTATTCTAATCATCAAATGTTCTTACTCTTTGACAACATTTTTTTGGCCGGGCATGGTGGCTCACGCCTATAATCCTAACACTCTGGGAGGCAGAGGTGGAAGGATCGCTTGAGCTCAGGAGTTTGAGACCAGCCTGAGCAAAAGCGAGACCCTGTCTCTACTAAAAAATACAACATTTTTTTAAAGACACCATAGTATACAATAACTTTAAGAACAGTCCTGTTGTTAAGCATTTAGAGTTTTCCAAGTTTTCATTGCTAGAAATAACTCACAATTTTGTTTTCTTGGCAACTAGCAAGTTTAACAGATTCTTGGAAATACGTATTTTTCTACTAGAGTAGTTCTTATTTACTTGAAAGAGGTTTTTGAATATTAAGTAACTATGTCAATGTTATATACATTTTTTTGCCCTTTTGTTATGTCTTCTAATTTATTTTACTGAATTTTTTGATGTACATAATTCAAAAATTTTAAGTTTTCAAGACCAGCCATTTTCTTAATGATATCTTCCTCTGTTTTTATGCATAGAACAGACTTTTCCTATTGCTACATCAGATATTCTATTCTCTCCTTCTATCATTAAAAAAAACACATTTAACTCTGTGATCATTCTGGAAATTATTTGGTATACAGTGTGCACGCAGTAAGGAAAAAACCAGTAGTAAACATCAATTAAATAAATTACACAGAAGAATATAAAGCATCAAGTGAAAGACTGATACCCCCACCCCGTTTGCAGAGGAAGGCTATGGCGCTTGCAGTGAAAGCACTGTCTACTGAGTCCACCCTCCTGGTCCTAGGGAAGGAAAGTCCACTATGTGTCACCAAAATCACGGGTCTAAAGGATGGTGACATCACTGCAAAACCAAGCTGGGATCTCACGGCTAAAGCAACCTCAGGTCCCTTCTGAAGACCATGGCTTTGAGCAACTGCGACTCGCGGAAGGGGCGCCGCCACTGAATGCCAGACGTAGCGCGGGCAGCGGCCAGAGGACTGGGCCCTGCCGTCGATTGTGCTTCTGAAAGGCAAGTGTCTCAACGCCAGTTATCACTGCAATTGCTACTTCTGGAGAGGAGGCCGTCAGGCAAGATAAAGCAACCGGCCTTTTTCTGGGGTCCCAGACTGGTGGCGGGTGGACGCTGAAGAACACAGGCGCAGAAGCCCTCTATTCCCTGGCTTAAAAGCTGTTCATTGCACAGAGGCCCTTCACCCCAGAGAGTAAGGGGTTAATGGACCAGGCCCAAGGACACCCTACAGTGCAACGCTTAGTTATAAAGGAGCTGCCATGGAAGTTGTGCCCTGGAGAAGCGTGGACACTTTCCCAGCCCGAGTGGTCGCCGTGCTGTGCGCTGGGGACTTTCCCACACCAACCTACCATTCACTTGCTTATTAAAGGAATGATGATTAATCCTCCACGCCCTCTGGGAGGAGCCACAGTGGGCAGAGCACACGGATGGGAGAAGCGAGGTTCAGAATGGTGAGTCCTTGCCCCAGACGACATAGGCACTAAGAGGCAGTGTGGTCTGATCCACTGCCTCTGCCACTCACCTGCCCCCACACTGCTCCAGAAGATACCTGGCTCAGGCTTATGCTCCCTCACACTGATCCACCAGGCTGGGGGCTGGACTGCAGTCACCCCCAGCAGAAGCAGCACACCTGAGTGCGGGCAGCTTCTGCGACGGTTCTCTCCGACCCTGTCACCACCCCTCGCTGCTAAATGCACCGAAGACTCTTTTCTCTGTGACTTTTCTAAACTGTTCTCAGACATGTTTAAACTTTCTACTATTTATTTCACATCTCAGGTGACACGCCACATGCTTACACATGAAATCACCCACAACTTGGCAAGCCCTGGGTATGTGTCAGCAGGCTCAAGTCTTTACCCCTTAGTTTGAAAAAAATAATTATTTTCTAAGTTCTTTTCTCTTTCCCTGAGTATCAGCCCTTCCTGGCGCAAAGAAAGCGATGGTACAAACAGCAGGAGCTTAAAAGTCCTTGATAGTGCAGCAATGTCGCCGTTCCCGAGTCCCAGTCTGGGAGGCACTCTCTGAGCTGCAGAAGGTCCTGACACCCTCGGGCCACTTGTTATCTTCTGGCCACGCTGACCCGCAGAGTGGACAGAGGAAGCCCTGCATTGCTTCCTAATGACCACCTGCCCCAGTGCCGGAGGGCAGAAAACAAACTGTGGATCAGCAATCTGGAAATGACCAGAGGTGTGGGGCGTGTTGGAACCTCACTAGATAGATTATCACAAAAATGGAAGCATTTGAAAGCACGAGGCCAGCTCCAGAGCATGAATTAATCATCAATTTAGTATTTCCTGTAATCTGGGGACATGTTTATTTTATGAAATCCCATTTTAAAATAGCAACGCGGCTGTGTTCATACACAATACCATGGCATCATTTAGGAAAGATATCATTTGCTTGGCCGGTGCAATTTATCACAACTACTAATTAGACATCAATTAAAAAAAAGAAAAAACACGACTGCTGACTGTAAACACCACGAAGGCTGCTAGTGAACAGGAAGCTGGCAACACAGGTGACAACCAGGACCCAGGCAAGAGCATGGGCTGCTTGCCAAGGAGCCTGAGACCACAGCAGAAAAAGGGGTAGAGTCCTGGACCAGGCCCCCAGACAGAGATGCTGGATTCCAAGGGGTTTGTGCCATGGGACACCCATAGACACACCCCGAGACACTCGTGGGGGAGACTCTGGCTCCTGCCTGCCAGAAGAAAGTGGACTTCTCACCAGTAGTGACGCCTACCCGCACGTCCATTGCCCCCCGCCCGTCCATCGGAGAGAGCCTCAGCCTCCACTCAAAGGCTCCTCACCTGAGAAATCTCCAAAGACGCACTCCACCAAAGCAGTCCTGGATGCAGACCGTTTCTCTCTTTTTTCTGCTGGTTTCAAATATCTTCTATGTGTAAGTTTTGTTTTTTCTCAATTGGGAAATAAAATTTTATTGTACAAAATTTACATTTGTTGTATATGATGTATACTCTTTTGGAACAGAGTAAGAAAAAGCTCAGAATGGCCAAGGTCAATATCTTCAAATATCTGAACAACTGCCACGCAGAAAAGTTTTGTTTCAGTGGGTCTAGGGCACAGAGCTACGACGAAGAATGTAAATTACAGGATGGCAAATATTCTCTCAATATAAAAAAATAACTATTATTAGCCACAGCTGTCATTCATTAGAATGGGCCTGAGTTTCTGAATCCCCGCCTCACTGGATAACTATCTGACTGGGAAGCTGTTTAAAAAGATTAATATCTGGTCTAGGAAGATAGCTAATAACAATAATAATGATAATAAAACACTTATTGAATGCTTACTATGAATGAGGCACAGAATGCTAAGTGTTTACCGTGCACTTTTACAGGAGTTCTCATAATAACCCCTTAAGACAGATTATTATTAATTCCATTTTACAGATGGGAACACTGAGGCTAAGAGGTAAAGTAACATGCATAAGATTAGACAGCTAGTGAGTTGCACAGATGTGATGCAAATTCTGAGTCTAATGCCTGTGGTTCTTTTTCTATCATGTTCTAAATCACTACCTCTCAAAATCGAGAATGCATCAGAACCACCCAGAGGGCTTGTTATGATACAGCTTCCAGGGCCCCACCTACAGAGTTTCAGATTTAGTTTGGACGAGGGCCCACGACTCTGCATTTCTTTTTTCTTTTCTTTTTGAGACAGAGTCTCACTCTCTTGCCTGGGCTACAGTGCCATGGCATCAGCCTAGCTCACAGCAACCTCCAACTCCTGGGTTCAAGTGACCCTCCTGCCTCAGCCTCCCGAGTAGCTGGGACTACAGGCATGTGCCACCATACCCGGCTAATTTTTTCTATTTTTAGTTGTCTGGCTAAATTCTTTCTACTTTTAGTAGAGACAGGATCTTGCTCTTGCTCAGGTTGGTTGCTAACTCCTGAGCTCAAGTGATCCTCCTGCCTCGGCCTCCCAGAGTGCTAGGATTACAAGTGTGAGCCACCATGCCCGGCCACGACTGCATTTCTAACACACCCCCATGTGATGCTAACGCTACTGGTCAGGAAACTGTACTTTGAGAACTGCCACTCCAGAAGATGGCCCAGGCCCCTAAGATCTCTCTGATGCCTGAATTCTATGATTCCATAAAATCAAGTGTTAAATACATCAGGCAAAAGATAGATACCACATACTCAAGAAATAAAGCAATTCCAAAAAGGATGAAAACTGCTGCTTTTTATACACAAGCAAGCCCTTATACATTATTTAGTCTTTTAACCATGACCATGTATGACTCCCATAAACATTCTTTAAAAATAGCTGACAAAAAGCAAAGACGCCTTTATTCTTTCTTTCCAAAATTCCAGTATTTGTGCA